AAAAGAGCCAAACAGAAACGGGGAGTCGGAGAGAGCGAGAGAGAACAAGAGAGATCAAGTGAGAGTGAGAGCGAGCAAGAGAGAGCGAGAGAAAGAACGAGAGCAAGAGCAAGAGAGTGAGGGCGAGAGAGCGAGCGAGAGAGCGAGCGAGAGAGGAAAGTGAGAGAGGAGAGCGAGATAGAGGGTGAGAGCAAGAGAGCGAGAGAGTGATCGAGGGAGCCAGAGAGAGCGAAAGAGCCAGGGAGAGCGAGAGAGAACGAGAAAATGTTTAAAATGTCATTTGGTTACATGTCATGACTTTCAAAAATTAAATATATATTTCATATTCCTTCAGTCCAATGAGCGCAATGAAAACAAATATATTAATTTAACTACATCTAATTAAAATATTCAATGCGAAGGTGATGACGCTATGATCTTGTACATCTTTAATGTTAAAGAAGGTTAAGGTTTCATGCATTAAAACATCGATTTGAAAACATTTTAAAAAACTACCGATTCGATTTTGATTAGATTTTGATCACACATTCGTCGAACGTGATGTGATGTGTATTCCTGGTCTACATGACAACTGGCAGCTGCTCTCTGATTAATGTTGCCTTATCTCGAGCAGATAATGTTGGAGATTTGCGGCGATAACGCTCCCTTCGCTTCAGTGCACAGCGGCGAAGCGAGCCTACCTCACCAGGATTTTACCTGCCGATCATGTTCTCGTGACAAGTGCTAAACAAATAAGTGCAATCATGACATCAGTGAGTTACAGTGATTTCTATTGAACAATTGTGTATTGTGAAGTGCTGTTCGAAGATGATTTATCCGTGGTGAAAATATGTCTAATATGCTTGACTGCTTAGACTTTCAAAATACACCATTGTACTTTCAGAAAACCAGACCTCTCTATCGGCGAAATATGTAGTCCCTATTCCAAGAGTAGTTTATGTCAGAAATCAAAAATGTCCCGAGACAGAAATCTTTTTGTACATATCGTTGTACGATGTTTGGAGTAGTGAGAGAATTGCGTGAGAGATGGGGAATATCTCCTCCCGTAAATCACATACGTCATTCGCCTACTATCAACCCAGGATCTCGCAAACTCATAAGGCCTTTGCTCCGCTGTTGGTTGGAAATATGATTTTTTTTAAACCTCCATATGTGAATTTATGAGCATAATTATTTCGTTGAGGCTTGCAATATCTACAATCCATTTAAATAGTTGACAGCAGGTGACGGGAAAGGCAGAAGTAAGCATGCGCGAACTGGCTCCAAGCATCTGTCAAGGATGTGTACCGTATTCGTGAATACGGTAGTCTGTGACAAAGAAGTGTTGACATTATTTACTAGTTTGATAATACAGTTAAAAAGTAGCATTAATTTTATCTCTAATTTAATTGAAACGGATATTTATGGTTCAAAAGAAGAATGTCATTCGGTTCGGTTCATTGTGAACCCTTTATTCGAGATCGCACGAGAAATCTGTGGATTCCACGACCGTTATAATGTGAGCAAGACGCACGAGAAGAAACTTGATGTACAGTTGAGACATCTGCGTGTACTATTGTAGTCCAGAAAATATCGAGTGGCCCAAAGCGAGCTAGGGATTGTAATCACTATACTCAAGACCAGAAATGTGTTGTGCATGCGTTAATGAAACTTTTCTTGGCCAAGGGTGCATGTTGAAAAGCTACAAAGTCAGTATGTCTGAGACTGCATTTAGTTTAGACGTCTCCCTCATCGTAACGCCTCAGAGCATCGAGAATCCGCGTGCGAACTTTACACGTCTTCAAGGACTCGTCTGACCACGGTTTCTATTTCAAATCTCTTCTCGCCTGCCTAATGATGTATATCGTCTCCTATATTATTTCAGTAGTATATATACCTTTTGCGCCTCTCGCACGCAACCAATCTTGTCAAATTATATCTCTAATGAAAGAGAATTACACGGAGACGTGACGAATTGGGCTTTGACTTTACAAATATGAAGGATTTGTTTAAAAAATCCATCTAAATATTCATGTCAAACTTTTCTCAGACATTAATCTACGGAATCAGATATTTTTGGACTTTCTATTAAATTTTTGCTTTTTGCTGAACCTAGATTGGCATTGGTGATGGTGGCTATCTTTGTAACGTCACGCTTAGAAGGCTTAGATCTCGTAATCCAGAAATTTGACTGTAGCTGATCTCTAATGAGTAAGTGATAAGAGGTTCAAGCGTGTCAAGTCCCGTCCATCATATACATTTACGCTTTCTGTGTACACCAAGGTTTGCACTGACTGTGAGGTTTATTTGCATAATTATTAATTCAAGATTTGCTCTCGCAGCAACAATTAAAAGTACTATTAATACTTGCTTCAAACCGATGAAGATTGTTTCTTATGCGCGTAGTGAAAACATTCATTTAGCGTTTTGCCGAGGTCTAAAAGTACTGTCTACCTATTTGTGGAGGGATGCGGGTGTACAGTAAAGAGTGAAGACGTGTCTTGTTAGGTTTGGTTTCAAGGAAGTGTGAATTGTTCGAAGAATATATCTCTATGATACTAAATTAATCTTTGTAAAAAAATCGTTTCTAACGTCAATTGGGTTGTTTTTATTACTGTTTGATGTTGTGTAAGTACGAAGTTACACTTGTACATTTTTTAACAAATAAACACGTTTTATTAAGAATTTTCCTTTTTAATGGAAAAGATGAAAGGAAGGAAGGGAAATGAATAGGGAAAGGGTGGGGATTAACATGCGAGAGTTCTCGAACGGGTGCGCTAGTTTTACATTTAATTTGCATTCATATTCAAAATTTTTAACTGATCAACTTCTGATTACGCGCGAAAAATAAATCGTACATTTCAATTTGTTTTGTTTTTTATCTTAATGTTTCACTCTATTATAATGTCAGTGCTACATTTTGATTTGTTGCTGATTGTAAATACATAAAATAGGATTTGAAAAAACCTAAGTGAATTATTAATTAAATTATTTTGCTAGTTTCGATTGTATTCGTATTGAATTTCTCGATGCTAGGGAGATTTACAACGGTGCTACAAGATTGATTTCGGGAGAGGGGTTGTTGTGTCGAACCGACATCATATTTTCCTATAAAGATTTTTTTATTTATGTTGAATTTGAAATTTATTTTTATTTGTTGTATAGTTATTTAAAATGTGTTCTAGATATTGAATGAATTTCGTTACTATTGAAAATAAGCAAAAATTTCTTTTGCGAATGCGTCATTGGCTTCTGCGAAGCGGGAGGCTGAAGCCCCGTCCCCTCCCCCCTGATGAAAACTACTGGAAATGTAACAAACAAAAATGAAGATAAAATTTCATTTTTAAATAGCCAAGTGCTTTTAACTACTTGTAGTTTACCTATCACAAGCGAGCAATCTCTGTTGTTTTCATGAAAGAACGATCTCCTAAAGAGGTGTTTTGAAAAGGCACTATTATTATTATTATTATTATTATTATTATTATTATTATTATTATTATTATTATTATTTTCTTACAAAAGGTACATTATGACTAGACATCGGATGTTTATAAATATGTTTATTTCATTCCAATGAAAAAAAAAGAATTTTAATACACGGCAACGAATTATGAAAAATGAAACACTTAGTCGAAGGAATATACAAATATTTTGTATATTTTGATATTTTTAAAAATATTTTTTCATAAATATTTCCTATTTTTTAATGAATTTAAAAATATTCATATTACTTCTCTTGGTTAAGAATAAACGTTTAAAACAATTTCACTCTTTGTATTCACAATAATTGTCTACCAGTAAAGAATCTTCATTTTCTTGTGAAGACTCAGTAAGCCATTTGGGAAATGCATGACACATTCAATATCTTAGCATTCCAAAAATTGGCACCTCGCACAAATAAATAAAGCTGTGGGTCGTGGGGGCGCGCTGGCAACAGATCCCGGACACAAACCAAACACTTGCGAGTTGGCACTGGGAAGTCGATAACACTGACTTCCGACATTGATATTCTACCGTACCAGTTGTTCTTCGAACAAGGTTAAGTAATGCAGGCTCTGTTAATTCAAGAATTGATCGTCAGGTCGTTTTTATATCCGCTCATTAGAAGAAATAAAACTGAAATGGAGCCAGTAGCTATGGTACGTGTATGGTGGAGTAGTGTATATCAGTGGCCACAGAATATTGTTACATGATTCACGGAATACCTCTTCCCCAATTTCTTGTTGGGTTGAAGCTCAGGCATAGAGCATGCTGCGCGAATACTGTTTACAGTGTCGACAGTTTTCATTTTAATTACTACTTATCGAAAATTTGAACCTGTTTTCTTACATTTTTCCTAAAAGTCGTCTCTTAAAAGGGGGAAAATGAAGAAATTTGTTTATGGGGCTAGTTGGTGGTCTGTTATCAGGGGGTACGATTTACAAACAATTTATATGGTTTCAGTGTACTTTTCAAAACAAATCGGTCATTGAGAGGGTGATCGTTTCAAGGGCGGATCAAAGGGGATAGGGGGGGGGGGCATGGGACCATGGCTCTCCTCCCCCCAGGTTAGTTTTTGTAGTGGAGATTTTATATAGATTATTATTATATAGATAGATTAGCGAAGCCAAGAAATCGGCGTAACATAATTATTACTCTTATACATACGTATATACGGAGTAATATTTGTAGTATAGAGAAAGTTATGTAATGGCGCGCGAAAAACCGGCGGATTTTCGGGAGAAAAAATTCATTGCCGGGCCCTAATAACGAAAAGGTAAACAAAACCAGTCGTTAAATAAAGAAAAAATTATCTACCACGTGGTGTAACCACAATCCGTGTTTTGTGGATCCTTGTTACCGAAAAACCAACTGACGTAAAAATGTTCGTCTAAGAACACCACTAACGCCCAAACCATACGTGTTTTTTTTTTAATTGAAGAATCCCCTGTTCATTTGGCTCGACTCAAAGCTTTGAGATTTTGAAAAACATTCTTTAAAATATTGCGATTTTAATTTTTTCGCTGTCTTCCTACAACTACAAAAATGAAGAGAGAGATTTTTCCTTCAAATGAAAATTGTTCTCCAAATTTAGTTCTTTCATTAAAATCATGTACATTTTTTAAACTTTTAGTAGTTTTCGCGCAAAATTGCGTGCAATATGTGAAATATTAAAAAATAAAAATATTTTCTAAAAAAGGCTCCAATTTTTTCCTTCAAACTTTTAATTGAAGTGCTTAATGTAAGTTATGAGATGATTAAACGCGAGTTTGCTCTATTCTTTTATTTTTTCAAAACTTACAAAAATGTATTTATTACTAGCGTCGCGTCGTGAATATTTACATTAGCGGCTATTTCTTTACACTATTGCATTTGTGAGTACATGTTCTTCAAAAAATTATGTCTGATAAAGTTCCTCAAAAACTCAAACTTTTTTCTGGAAGCTAGCTCAAATTTCCACATCTTCAGAAACCTTTAAACGCCATTTTTTCAAAAACATCTCCAAATATTTCCTTCAAACTTTTCGTATGGATAGTGCTAATTGTACTGTTTAAGATGACATAAAATTATTTCTTCTGTATTCTTTTGTTTTTTAAAACAAATACACAAATGTAATTTTTTTAATCTCATACGTCGTTAAAATGCGCTTTTCCGGTGGCCCGTATACATTATTGCACTAGTGAGTGAAAGTGCTTCAAATGATTTCAAATGAAGTGCATTGAAAACTCAAAAAAATTTCGGTTAAAATATCTGAAAAATTTGGAGCTGTTTCTATGAAAATGAAGTTTAGCTTTACTGTAAAAGTGAAATTGAAGTTTTTTTAGACGACGTACTCTTCTTTAATATTCTTGAAGTAATATTTCATTTTTACTATTCGGAAACGGAAAAATTGGGAGAAAAAAGTTCTTTGGGCGACGATAGATGGTAGCCGGCAAGAGGAGTATGTGGCAAGTCCTAATCGCTAGCCCAGACCAAAGAAAAGAAAACTAATACGAGAAAGACTGCGCCATTCTGTAGTATCACTAGTTGAACAATTGTAAATATACATCTGAAAATCTGAACCGAAAAATCTGAATCTTTGTCAAAGTCTTGTTGATAAAAAAAAGGTAATCCTCCCCTAGGAGAATTCCTGGATCCGTCCTAGGGTCATTTAATAGGGGTAGTCTTTCTGTCAGGTTTCAATCAGTATTCAACATTTCTTCATGAACTATATTATCCATTAAGTATTTGTAATATGATTCTAAACTCTGCTTTTAACCAGAAAATTTGTAAAGTCAAAGAGAATGAAGCCCATTAGGCAATTTGAAGGAAGTGTAGTAGTTTGCCATTGACTTTCTGTTCCAGATAGGTAAAGCACCAAACATCCCTGAAAGTATCACCATTCAGAACATGAATGCAATTACTCAGCATCACTCATTTCCTAACTTGTTTGTTGTGACACTTTCAGAGTTTGAGACATTTGTGGAAAACTACAAATGTATCTTGTCCCCACCCAGGGAACTCAACTCAGAACCTGGAAAGTGCATGGAAATTAAGCATTTGCATTTAGCATTGAACAATTCAATTGCTCATAGAACTTTTTATGAGTGATTTTGATTTTCGTGCTTCAAGTGTGCTTCAAGCATGCTTCAAGTTATATATTTGTGAGTTTAGATGGAAAGTTAAAATATTTGGTGGACTATTTGGCCTCTACATTATTTGATAATTTCAATATGACGAAAAGTTTGATAAAAAACAAAGAGAGGGAATTCTTGTGGATATTCTATCTACGCAAAATATTTGAATAGGTCTTTACGTTAAATGAATTATTATATTAAACAAATATGAAATAAATAGAGGGGGAAGAAATGAGTAAATAAGACTAAATGTGAAAATTAGTCATCAACCTGAAAGTATACTTCTGTATTGGGTGATTTAAACACATTTAGAAAACATTCTCACAACAGTAAATGAAAAATATAAGTTATATAAGGAGCAACTGTTTTTCAGAATTGAAATTAAAGATTATTTAAGGAATTAAAGAAAGAATTTTGGTTTCCTTAATTACACTGAATTTTTTATTATATAATTTATCTACATCTTAAAGAGAAACTGTAGCTTTTAATCAATCTTTCTTGATAAATACATTTTTACTTGAGAGGCCTCTGTCGTTTTGGGTTCAATTTTACCAACCCTTCAGGTCTTTCATCCTCTATCTATAGAATGACATTTGGTGAGACAAAAATCATAATGGGAATCTAAAGTAACATGGTAATTCAATGAGTAAATATGCTCTACATAAATCATTTAGATGGCATGTATAACTCTCTCTTATTTTCATTACAGTCTAATTTTCTGTGGGTTAAACCCACCACAAATGATGAATTTGACGTTCCAATTGGAGTGCGAGTTGTGTCTTCTGACAGCAAAAAGATGCTTGTCAAAGATGATGATGGAAAGGTAAGTTGATATTCAATTTTAGAAAATTGTAAAAAAAAGAATAAATTCAAAAGAATCTAATTCATATTTACAGCTTTTAAAGTTTAAGTTTGCAAAGGTCATTAAATTTATATTTCTTTAATATTGTCTTTTACTTATTGCAGGCCTAGCTATTTTATTTATATTCAAAAAATTATTAAATCTTCAAGCTGTGTAAAAGATCAATTATAGTATAATTATTTTATCTTGTATCAAAAGTACCTCATATTTCCTGAGTATTTATTTATTACAATCATCTTTCACATGAGAAAAAGAATGAATTCTATCTATGTATCCCTCCCTTGGTCTGTCCTGCCCTGCCCTGCCCCAAGATGCACTTATCAGACTTGCCCTGTTTCCTTCTATTGTCCTCACCCTGCTCTATCTCACCTGACACCATCTCTTCCCATACTCTTTATAGATAGACCCTGCATGTCCCACCTTGCATTGTTTGCTACAGTCACCATTGCTACCAACATCATTGCTGCAGGCAGCAGCAAACAGATGCATTGTTGCATACTCCCAGTGAGCTTCCAGTAGAAATTTTGACCTCACATTACTCAAAGCATAATGGCACTGTTGGAATGAATTGGAAAGCATTTAGTAAGAAATTCTATGGACTTTAAGAAATGTTGCATATTCTTTTGTAAATTCCCTCACCCTTTTCAAAATATCTGCAAAAAAACTGAAAGAGTGCACACTTAAAGTTTGCTATAAGAGACTGATAAGGATGATAGGGGTAATTTTTACAAAATCTCATCCAGACAGTAATTTTTCTCTTTTTTGAAGGTCAAGTGTACAAAATTTCATTAAGATCGTAATAAAACTCTAGATTTGTATTAAAAAACATTCTTTACTACAAAAGGGAAAATAATTTGAAGAAAAGAAGCCTAAATTATGCCTGACAATATTCCCTACATTTCAGAGAAAACCGCATTGAAATTAATTTAGCTGTTACAGAGATAACTCCAGGCAAATAGACAGACAGGCAAACTGATCAAAATATTGATCAACAGACTGACAACTGATAGAGATACATTCATTTAGACTGATAAAAAAAATTGAATTAGTTTTTACACCATCTAAATAAACATAAGGGATGAAAAAAATGACAGCAATTTTGAAATCAAATCAGACACTCTCATTTCATTTATATAGACTAAGGAGTACTTCATTTCTACAAGCCAGTAATTTAATTATTTAACTGCAGTTATAGAAAATCAAAAGAGAACCTAGTGACAAAGAAAGGAAAAAAACACTATTTTGCAATATTTTTTGCAGATTCACCTTGTAAATTCACATCTTTTACTTTCTCATTTTCTATTCCAGAAATGTTATCTTTGGCAATTTGGCTTATGTCATGAAAATTCTTCTATCATTTCTTTTAAACAACACTTATACTGTACTCATTTCATTTTATTATTGATTATAGGCAGATATTTTTTTTTCATCAAATGATTAATTTCAATTGCTGTCTTTCAGGAATTTGTTGTTAAACCTGATGCAGTTCTCAAAGCAATGCATACTTCTTCTATTGAAGGAGTGGAAGATATGATCAAATTGGTTGATTTGCATGAGCACACCATCCTAAGAAATTTACATCTAAGATACTCCAAAGATCTTATATATGTAAGGTTTCTTTATTTCTTTTTAAACATTATAATTTTTCTGTTTAATTTATTTCTGTTTGTTTTATTTTTGTTTGTTTTTGTTGTTTTGCTAATAATGAAAAGATGTATTATTGTTTTATAGACTTACACAGGTTCAATTCTTGTTGCTGTGAACCCTTATCAGATTTTGCCAATTTATTCTGGCAATGATGTGGAAAGATACAGAAATCGTAAAATTGGAGAACAGCCACCTCATATTTTTGCAATAGGAGATTCAAGTTACTCTGATATGAAACGTTTTCAACATGACCAGTGCATTGTAATTAGGTAAAATCTTAAATACTATTTTAAAATTACGTTTCTTAATTCACACAAAAAATAAATTATAAGCAAAACAAACAAATAATGAAAATTGTTAACATTTTTCTTAAGAGAATAAGTCTACAGCAATGATAAATATCAAATGGTTAAATTTTTCTAGTATAATTTTATGAATTTTATAGTGGAGAGAGTGGAGCAGGAAAAACAGAAAGCACAAAGCTTATTCTTCAATATCTGGCAGCAGTCAGTGGAAAGCATTCATGGATTGAACAGCAAATATTGGAAGCCAACCCTGTTTTGGAAGGTAAATTAAAAAGAAACATTTGGAGATGCAACTACATGGTACAGTTTAAATTAATGAGAAAATCAGAAAACTATTGCACATTATGCATAAAAAATTAACTTTTGTAATTTTCGAAAATTCAAATAATTTAATGAAAATGAAATATGCGTACTTTATGTACCTTTATTGCACTGAGATAAAATAGTTTTAAAAAATTTGATCCATTTTTGCAAACAAACAAAAAATCGATAATTTTGACAGTCCATATAAAGTACTCACAAAAATCAAAATATCCGTTTGAAATTCAAGGACCCGCCAGATTAGACAGTTCGATAGGAGAATATCAATTTTGGTATTTATAAGGGCTTATATAGGCTTTAAGCAGCATAGAGTACAGCAATCGCCAGCAATATCGATCTTCTGTGCATGTTTGAGTTTTGCATCATTTCTGAGCATTTACGCATGCGCAGAAGATCAATATTGCTGTCGATTGTTGTTCGCTTCGCTGTAATTAATGTTTCGAATCTTGCGTACAGTTTTGCCGCAGCGTTGTTCACACAGACAGATGTTTCGCGTAAACCATGTTTTCGGTTACAAGGACCCACAAAACTTTTGACTGCAAAACATGTTAGCAGAAGTAATTTACTACTTACTGGAACAAGATTTATCCACTTTTTAGTAACCTGGGCCAGCAAATAAAGGTTTTTGTGTCGAAAATTCGCCGTTATCCGACGCACGATTATTATTACTTTCCCTTCTTACATACTTAAGGCAGAAAAATTGGTACAAAATTGTCTTCTTTATGTTTTAATCGATACTAATGACAATTGTTTACCAAAAACTACTGTATTACTTTGTTACAAAATAAAATTATTTTATTTAAAAGGTAAGGCCTGCTAAATGACAGGCTCCAAATTTAGGTAAGAAGTCAGAAATGGCGTATCACGAGCCACTTTGTGGAAGTACGTATCATAAAAAATATTGAAATAATAATGAACTTGACATTTGCCCTCCAAATGGTAGGTACCGGTACTTATTTTCTTCTATAAGACGTATATAATACGGGCTTGGTGGCTCAGAGCATCAACCTGATGTCACTGCAGTGCGTCACTACAGCCACGTACCGCGAAGTTCTATGGTACGATTCCCGACAGTGGCAGGATTTTCGTCACTAGCTACAAAGTTGGGTCGAATCGATCATTCTTTCTTTCATACACACACACACACACACACACACATATTTACCTGCACTACACTACCACACATGTCGGGAGCTTAGAACTTGTCCCGTTGGAGCGGTGCCCTTCAGGTGAGATAACTGGTTGAGGAAAACCCCACCACCACGTATGTGTTGGATCTCACCATCCACTCGGGGATGATCACCGCCAGCGATAAAAACTTGGGAGATTCTCGTACACTACCGGGACTAATGGCCATAGCAGTTGACACGCCCTGAAACGACAAAACAATCAATAAGACACGTGTCCGACTTTCCAGCTAGCATCTGACTAAGCGGCCAGCGACCAAATACATTTCGTAATCTATCACCTCAAGCGATTTTGAACTGTATTTTAGACTAATAAGATAGCAGAAAATGGAGATTACTGTTGATTTAAAGTTCTTGGGCAGGGAAGCATTACCAGAATACCTCGAACAGTGACGTCCAGAGTAGCTTATCTCGGAGGGGATTATTTACGTTTCAGGCAACAACATGTTTTAATAAATACCTCTTAGTGAAACAACGCGTATACTTTGCTTACTTCACAGCATTTTTATGGTTCGCTAACTCGTGCTTCCCTTCAGCGGAATGTATTGACTCGCGCGAGCCCGGCGCACGCCGCGAGGCCGATCATTCAGACGGCAACTTATTTGTCAGACGGCCCTGCTGAAATGTTTCTACAGGTGCGAATTTCGTCGGAGGTCTAGTTTGCTTTTTCGATTCGCTGAGAACGAGAAGAAAATAGACAAATCAATGGCGTATTTTGGTACTAGCCAAGGAAGGCAAATCTATAAAAGAAAGTCGAGTTAGTTACAGCATTTATCTCAAGAACGGCTGGACCAATTTTCATTATCTCTGATTTGTTGGATGCGTCTCCGTCCCGGATAGAGGTAATAGACAATAGAATAACTATTAAAATATCGAGAGAAAAAAATCACTAAATGACTAAACTAAATATTTACGTCAAATGCAACACGCAACACACGCGGCAGGATTTTTAGTATCTATATCGTTAAATAACTCCTAAATGAAGCGTTCTATGTCCTTAAAACTAAAATTTTGAGGTCGGACGATTCAAAGAAATGTTTCCCACACCACAATATACTGGATGAGATCTTTTTGAATATTCTATTACATTTTTGCTCGGGGGGGGGACGAAGATAGAGAAAGGGAGATAAAGTGCAGAACGTCTGCCGGGTTCCGCTAGTACTAATGCTTTGTTTAAATTGTTTTGTCATTTCTAGTACATAATTAAAATGTTTAAGAGAGCATTCTACTATTTTATTTTATAGCAATTAGCACAATTAGATTTGATTTACACTTCCAGGAACTTCCACAAATATGATCGTATCCCGAAGTCCACGTAAAATGATTCCGTCGTAACCCGAAGTCCTCTTAACCTAAAGACCTGGTACTCCGAAGTTCTCACATCATAAAGACCTCTTACCCCCAAGTAATACGGAACCTTGTATTCAAAAGCTCCATTATTTTGTTGTTATTGAATCATCTACTATATTCTTCCAGTAAGTTAGCTAATGTTGAAATAAATAACTCTTGTTTAATTTGCATGTACAACTCCACGCAATTTCTCATTTCACTTCCTGCATTCTCATGCTTTTATTTCTTTCAGCTTTTGGAAATGCCAAGACAGTTCGAAATGATAATTCATCTAGGTTTGGCAAGTACATTAATATTCGTTTCAGTGGAGATGGTTTTATCAAAGGCGCTCACATGGAGCAATATCTTTTGGAGAAGTCTCGCATTGTGTACCTAAATGAAGGCGAACGAAATTACCACATATTTTATGGAATGCTAGAAGGATTAACAGTAGATGAGAAACTTAAATTGCAATTAGGACCAGCTTCTAGTTTTAATTATCTCAAATGTGTAAGTAATTTTGTTTTTCTTCAAAGACATTGCACTTTTTTTTAAAAAATCTCCATGTACATCACATATATTACAGGGTAGTGCCATAAAATGTGATGGAAGAGACGATGGCAAGGAGTTTGCTGTTGTACGAGCAGCCATGAAAGTTCTTCTTTTCTCAGACGAAGAAATATGGGAAATAATCAAACTCCTTGCAACCATTTTACATTTGGGCAATGTTAAATACAAAGCAACAGTAACTGGTTGGTATAATGTTTGTAGTAACAATACATTATTTTTTTAATTATTTTAATAAATGTTACTGACTACATTGACACCACTGCAAATTGAATTTCAGCAACTGTCGATGCATCACAAGTGACTGATGTAAAAGCTGCTGAGAGAATAGCAGATTTTTTGGGTGTAGCAAAACAACCTTTAGTAACAGCACTTACTAACAAGACAATATTTGTCCATGGAGATTCAGTGGTAAGTATAATTTACTTGAAAACAGAAAATCATTCATATAATAATGGATAATAATGAACATTTTAAAGTTGGTTTGGCACATCAAAGTTTACCAATTTACTCTTCAATTTAAATAGTAAAAATGTCGTGTTGCTTGTGAAATTAGGGCAACTATTTATTTACTTAAAAAAAGAGACCAAACGTTCGATTATAACATGTTACTGCATCAGGGCACAGATATACTAGTATTGGGTATTTGTAACAGTTTCATAAAATTATTTGAATTATATTGAAATATGAGAACTGCTAATTTATTAATCATCTCTGCATATATTTCTTCATCAAATTATACCCCAATGCCAATTTCTAACATCTTCTAAGATCCATTTCATAAGGGAAAATTTTCTGGCTAAAAAATAGGCCAACAATGTGCTTAGCAAAACTGACTTTAAATGAAGTGAAGTTTGAATGATATTCGACAGAACAGGTTCCCTCGTATTTTTCAAAATTCACTAACCCTAGAGCATGGGTTTTCAAACCTTTTTCTGCCATGGCTCTCTTGACCTTAACGAAACTTCCCGCGACTCCCCTGGTAATAAGTTTCAAATATTGTTAATGGTTAATATAGGCCTACTAAAGATTCAACACAAATGGATAAGTGATGTAATTGGCTATTGGTAAAAGACTTGCGAGGTGCAATTAAGCCACAAATAATAAGTAAAATAAATCATATATATTAGAAATAACATCTAGTATGATAGTGCAAAATTATTTTGAAGGCATAAATGTCCCAAGGATTGAAATAAATCAAATCTAAAGATCATTTTAATAAATCACCGCGACGCCCCTACCGTAGGCCGCGACGCCCCTGAGAGCCGCGGCTTAGCCCCTGCCCAAAAGGAAATGTTATAATTTTAAAAATTGAATTTATTTTTATTTATTTAGTTTTTTACTGTGTTTATTTCAACGTTCTGCCTCTTCTTTTCTTTGCTTCCATATCTCTTTCGTTCTGGCCCGATGTTTCTCTTTCTTCTCCTCAGTCGAAATAAAAAATATTATAAAAATTATGCCAAATGTTATAAAATTTAATATACAGAGAATGTTTTAACTAACACAACAGCTTTTTTTATGATTTGGGGTGTCCGGGTGACACCGTGTCGAAGGCTGAGGTGCCGACGTTTCGACCGTCGTATCGCGGTTCTCTTCAGGGCTGAACTGCGCCAGGATATTGGGCGCTCCGGTTTATATAGTAGGTGGGCCAGGCTGCAAAGAGTAAGCATGACAATGCACCCCTCTGTCTCAACCGCTGTGCGCTGTCAAACGGATCGGATATCCATCTAACTACTTCCACTCTGCACTGTTCTTGTATAGTTGCCTTTTCCGGACTGATAAGTTTCTTCGAGATGCCAAACTTTTCCATGGCCTCAATAATTCTTTTCTCCTAATTAATAGTACCATATGCTGCTTTGAAATCAATAAATAGACAATAGGTGTTCGAACTATATTCCCTGGTCTTTTCGATGATTTTACTCATCGTATGAATATGATCGGTTGTTGATTTCTTCTCCCTGAAATCACATTGGTAATTTCGGATAAGTGGCCAGTGAACTATTTCGGGCGTTCATACAAAATATTGGAGAATATATCTATAACCTGTGTTCATGAAACTGATTCTTCTATAATTCTCCGGTTTTAGTCAATCCCCTTTTATAAATATTGGACATTTAAGTGCTTCTTCCCATTGTTTGGCAACGTTTCTTGTTTCCATATTTTATATGTGATGTGGAGTAATTTATTCCGCAGACTGTGTTCCCCTTCAATGATTTTTCATAATTTCTGCTGCTATATCATCCGATTCCGGTGATTTGTAATTATTTAATTTTCTGATAGCATTTTAATAGTTCATTCACATGTGGATGTCCATCAGTTGCAGTGTTCTCACAGTCACTTTTACTTTCATTTTGATCCATCTCAGTTTCCTGCGTTTGTCCTATTGTTCTTATCCCCCAGCAGACTGTTGGAAGTGACCCTGTCATCTCTTCATAATCGAGCTTCTATCGGTCAGCAGACGGATGCTTTCATCTCTACAGAGTATCACTCTCTCTTTGTGACCTTTTATGGAGGTGTCCTGTTGATAAAACTTCCTACTTTTTTATATGGGTTTATACTAACTAACCTCTTTACTTTATCTTCCTCAAACATTCTTTTCTTTCTTCTAGTAATATTATTTTCTTGTGCTCTGGATTCTTTATATAATTCAGTCGTTACTTGGGAGAACCTCTTCTGTATCATCGTGTATGCTTCATTCTTTTCTAATGTAGCTTTCTCCCACTCATCGTCATACCACGAGTTACGTTTCATCTGCCGCTTCTCCCCCAAAACTACCTCAGCTACATGGTTCATAATTTGTTGGATTTTATGCCATTGTACTTGTATTCCAGAGTGATCATTGTTCAGTTTTTGAATACCCTTGGCAACTTTTTGGGTAAACAACTGTCGCACCTCAGGACTCTCAATTTTTCAATGTCGAATATTTTCTTAGTATTGTTTTCACTTTCCTTATTTTCGTTTCAGCAAATCCTACTTCTTATTTTAGATCTTACTAGAAAGTGATCGGAATCTGCGTTAGCTCCCCTCAAACAGCGATCATCCAAGAGGCTAGACTTGTGCCTTCGGTAAATTAGGATATCAATCTTGTTTGTTGTCCATTTTGTGATCTCCATGTTCCTTTATGAATCTCTTTACGGGGAAAATGCGTTCCGCCTATAATCATAGGTTGGTTATTTGCAAAATTCACCAACCGCATACCATTATTGTTACTTTCATTGTGAAGGCGTTCTGTTCCAGCTGCTGGTTTTGACCACTCTTCTCTTCCCACCATGGCATTTAAATCTCCTAGTATCATTTTTACACCATGTGGTGGACATATATCGTAGGCTTTCTCCATAATGTCATAGAAAGTGTCCTTCTCACATTCTTCTTTTTCTTCACTAGGCGCATGTGCTGTAATTAAACTATAGTTAAATTTTCCTTTAAATCTCAAAAACATATTCTCTCATTGATAGGTCTAAAGTCTAACACGCGCTGTTTCATCATCTTGCCAACTATAAATCTTGTTCCAAAATTACGTGATTTTCCACTTCTATAATAAAAGTGTCCCGGCCTCAGTTCGACCACATCCTTCCCAGTCCATCTAATTTCTTGGAGAGCAAGTACATCGAGTTTGTAATCACTAGCCACCTTTAATATATTTCGGAGTGCAGCCTTTCTAAATAGGGACCGTACGTTCCATGTTCCATATCTCGATTCCAATTTCGTCCATGTCGTCGTAGATATCTATGCCCGGCTTTCTTTCCTGAAAGCTTCTGAACAATGGATATTTTACCAGGCTGGATTGTTAGCCCTACGCTGAACACCCTCCCGGGAGGACCAGAATGTTATTTCTGGGTTTACTCCCATAGGACGGATGTATTCTCTACGCCTACGGAGACCCCCTCCCCCCTTAGTTTTCTGTCGGGGTTTTCCTTCCCTTAGTCCAGTGCTCTCGTTTTGAGGCGCCAGAGACTCGCCTTTCGTACTTTTCTATTCGTTACTCTCTGAGCTCTCACCACAGAGAGAATCCAGGGGCCGTCCCACGGAGGAGAAAGATAGGACTTCTTGACCTTGCTTCCAAATCGGGAATCCCTGTTACTCAATTCTGTATCTCTGTATTCTGGTATTTATCGTGGTGAGCACCTATGGACACCGTTACTCCCCGCCAGACCCTGGTCAGCTATTTGACCCCCTCCCCCCCATCTCTAAATTTACCATGTAAATATTTCGGACAGAAAAATATTTGGAAATTGTTACATATGAGGGACTTTTTAATATTCAAAATTTTGACTAAAAATGTCACGTGATTAAGTGATCTTTAAAAATGAAATAGAACTTTTTGGAAGGATTTATTTCATAAAGTGTGTCTGTCTATTTGTCTGCAGCCGTGCATCTGAATCCATTCCACTGTATCTGTCCCTCGATCTGTGTCCATCTGAGTTGGATCTGTGTCTGTCCCTGTGTGTCTGTGTGTGTCTATCTGTCAGGGGGTGTGTGTGTGTGTGTGTGTGTAAGTCTGTGTCTGTCTGTTTGGGTTTGTCTGCATGTGTTTTGTCTGTGTCTTTATTATGCATTTTTTTTAATATTCATTGAAATATTGCATAGGTATTTTTAAAAAATTGGCAATTAAATAGAGTGGCAAGAGGGTTTGGTTATTAATAAGCTGCAGATTTATAAGCATGAAAAACTGTAGAAATAGGCAGGCAAAATAGGCATTTAAAAATGTAAAATAGGCATTTGAATTTGCACTATAAATTTTTCTTATCTTTATTTATGTACTTGTTTGGCAAGTTTCTAAGATAACATAATATAATTACCTTCATGGAATGTTTGCTTTCATTATACTGACAAAGCCACTTAGAAATCCTTTCTACCATTTTCAACGAAATTTGGGCAAAAAAGCTGAATTGTAGTTGCTACCTTTTAGCTTTCCATTAAATGCAGGCTGATACTTAAATGCTACCCACATTATCTTTTTTCTCACCATGCATAATACAAATGCAACTAATGGTGCTACAACAGCATGCACATTATTTCTTAAAAAAAACACCATGTGCAATTTTTCAAGGAGGTTTTTAAGAATTATTTTTGTAAGTTGATTTAGTTTCAATGAAAAACTGTGTAAGAAAACTCTCTTTTTTCAAAAAATTATAAATCACCTTTTTTAAATCTGATTTTTTTAAACAGATTTCATTTAAACAAAAATTACCGTATTCAATATTGTACTTTTGCAATGTTAACTTTGTGCAATTTTTGAAAATACAGAGTTCCCAAACAAATGGGACTGGCACCAATTTTTGTACTGCCCCTTCATACTCAAGAGGTGAAAATTTTAAGAAAAAATTTGGAGCCATTTTAGAGCAAAAAAAGTTTGAAAATTCAAAGTAAAAAATAACTCCACCACCACTTGTGATTTTGCACGTACTTCATACTACAAAATACTCGTGCTGTAGTGGCAATAAAACAGATCATAGATTTATTGATAGTTGTTCAATTTCTCTGCATTTGGCAGGATAAAAACGAAAAAACAAACACTTTTTTAAATTTTTGGCTCAGGATAATTGCATTTTGTTCAATAAATACGAATAGACAACATTTAGGCATTTAAACACAAAATAGGCATTTATTAGTGAAATAGGCATTTATAAGCACTATAAAATTCCCAAATACTACTCCTAATGCCTCAAATTGAATAAGTAACACAAAATATTGTGTATTCCATTAAAGGAAAAAAATAGGTAAAAAGGCAATGCAGCTTAGTTATTAATGTTCACAAGAAGAGCTCAAAGAAGATATAGGGATATTACATGGTTACCACCAGCTTCTTAGCTATATGCAAACATGCTAAGGAACAGACTCAATGAAATAAGAGAGAATTCCATGGGAGAAGAGCAATGTGGATTCCAAAAGGGTAGAAACACTAAAGACACCATCTTCACATTACAGATCTTAATAGACAAAAGAAGGGAAAGGAATCTACTAACTTTTATAATATTTATTGATTATGAAAAGGCTTTCGACAAAGTAATAGACACTGGGAAATAAAGGAGGGTAAAAATGTAACTCTGGGAAATAAAAGAGGAGAAAGTTCCAAATCAGTTGATCAATGCTAAACAAAATCTCTACAAGAACTCTAGAATTAAAATAATGTTAAGAGAGGGGAAAAAAGTCAACTGCAATAAGAACCAACAGTGACTTAAGGCAAGGATGTGGATTATCACCTATCCTCTTCAATATATGTATATATTAATAATTTAGCGAGAAACTGGAGATCAAAAGTTAAACAATACAGATAAAAGACAAGAAAACAGATACAATCTTGTATCCAGATGACCAAACTATCATAATGGATTCTGAAAAGAATTTACAAAGAGCAGTTTTTGAATTGACAAAAGCGAATTCAAAAATATTTCATGAAGATAGCAGTTTCGAAAACAAAAGTTATGGCAATACAAGGCAAGGAACAAAGGGGAGCCAAAATAGTAATAAATGGAAAATTAGTGGAACAATTAAATATATTTTTATATCTCTGAAATATCATAAGTGTACACAACCAACCTCTAAGGAAGACAGAAAACAAACTTAATAACTAGAATAGGACACATGGAACAATTAAGTGACACTTTTGCAGAGACATGGACCCAGAAACAAAACTGAAATTTCACAATATAGCTGCTAAACTTAGAATGATGTATGGCTCTGAAACGTAGGTAATGAAAGAGAGAGACAAGCAAAAACTACATGCAGCACATTTGAAATTTCAAAGGCACCTCAAGGGAATCACAAGAAGAGACAGACTGAGAAACAAAAACATCAGAAAGAAATTGAAAACTTAAATTTTGAAGAAGAGATAGAACAGTCTCAAAGGAAATGGAATAAGATCATTTACAGAGAATGGACAACAACAGATTTCCAAATTTTATCTAGAAGAACAAACCAATGGGAATCGAAGACAAAGGCAGACCACTAAAGAGGTGGCAACAGCAGAAACTAATTGTCTACCAAGAATACTGTAATAAACCAATTAGAAACAGGCTGTAAAGCCTAATTTCTGGTCAGGTGATGATGATGATGATGATGATGATGATGATGATGATACAATTAAATTCTAAATTAAGTAAAATTTACTTCTAATTCAAAAAAACTGTACCCTATACCATGAAAAATTTTAATATCTGAGAACCTATTGCAACAAGAATAAAATCTCTAGCTAAAATTGAGAAAATGACAAAGATGTTCGAAAAATGTTTAACTTTTTGAATTTTTGAAAATTCAGATATTTTATTGAAAATTTGACATAATGTATTCATGATAATATTTTGCTCCATTTCAACAAGAAATTATGAAAGAGAACAATACAATATTAAATAATTAATTGCTTATTAATTACCAGGTAAAGCCTCTTTCTGCAGTGCAAGCAGGAGAAACACGAGATGCCTTTGTTAAAGGTATCTATGGTCAACTTTTTGTATTCATTGTTGAAAAAATTAATGCTGCCATTTCAAAATCTAAGGAGGGATCAAAAACTGCTATTGGGGTCTTAGATATTTTTGGATTTGAAAATTTTAAGAACAACAGGTAAGCCCAAAACTAGTTAATGATTTTTATTATATTTATTGATAGGTACTTATTTATTTATATTAGTAATTTTATGATATTATTACTAATATTTCTCAATGTGAACAAATAGTATGTTGACAACCAATGTTTTAAAAATATTTTTGTAGCTTTGAACAACTGTGCATTAATTACGCTAATGAAAACCTTCAGCAGTTCTTTGTTCAACACATTTTCAAATTAGAGCAAAAAGAATACACAGCAGAAGGCATCAGTTGGCAGCATATGGAGTTTGTAGACAACCAAGAAATTCTTGATCTTATTGGCATGAAGTCCATTAATATCATGGCCTTAATTGATGAAGAAACAAAGTTTCCAAAGGTAAGACTCAAGAAAATATGTTTAAGTTATTAATATACTGCTTGCTCTATTTCAAATTAAAATCAATTTAATCTTATATTTTCTATTTCAGGGTACTGATACAACAATGCTTAGTAAGGTTCATACAAATCACAATAAAAATAAGTATTATTTGAAACCAAAATCTGATCGTATAGAAGCATTTGGTCTAAATCATTTTGCTGGAGTTGTTTTCTACAATGTTCATGGTAAATATCATTTTTTATTTTGAGAAAGTAATAAGTGTCATGTTCTTCACTGATCAACAAAATGCACAATTCTCACATAGAAAGAAGATAGTGTACTTTATAAGCAATAATAAAGCAAAACTGTTTTTCTATAATAGCATTTACAATAATTAACACATTTTTGTTCTTTAAATTACATAATATGATCACAAGATACAATATAAACATTGGTGGATGAAAAATGTATGTGAACTATATTTAAAAACGATACTTTCAAGAATTCCTTATGAATGGTATAAAAAAATTATGTAAAACAACTTGACTTTCCTTTTCACTGAAGAGAAACTACAGCTGGAGATCATTAATACAATAATTTTCTATTATGCATTGAAAAAATATCAAAAATGTCCACTTAAAAAAAAAACTTTGTTTTATATGATTATTTTTGTAACAGTTATTAAAGTGCTGTTTTGGTAACGTTTTTCGTCTGCTAAAATATGTCATTACTTACATTGAAGTTAAAGCATTACCTCAGTCTGAGAGGGAATATGTAACAGCAGAGTAAACAAAGGATGCTTAAATTTTTTCATTAAACTCTAAGTGAAACCAGTACCGCTGATTAAAACTATCCTTATATACACACGACTCCTAAATGAAGGTGGCAGTGAAGCTATTGATAGTCATAGCCACTAATTAATAAGGCATAAGAGTGTACTGGTGTTTGAAATGAGCCAAAAAATGGTTAAAGCATAATGTTTTGTATTTGACGAGGTGTAACTGAGCTTTACTCACTTGGAAGAATTATATCCCTTATGATATCACACTAGGAACCATACCTTTATCCTTTTTGAATAAAACTACTAAATCCTCTTTTTTTTAATAACTATTGTTAAAAGTTTGTGTTCTACTATTTGTAAACAATTAGATATTTTTATATTTTTGTTTAATGTTTCATATCTTAAATATCACAAATATTTCACTAAAATGTTAACAATGAACATCCAATAACTTTTCATTGCACAGGATTTCTAGAAAAAAATCGAGATTCCTTCAGTGAAGATCTCAAGCATATTGTGAGCACCTCTACTAACAAATTCCTGGTTAATTTATTTGCACATGAACTAAATGGCACTCAAGATACAAAGAAAAAGAATTACACTCTTTCTTTGCAATTCAGGAAATCCTTGGAGTCTTTAATGAAGACACTTAGCAGTTGTCATCCTTTCTTTGTGAGGTGCATTAAGCCTAATGAATTGAAGAAACCAAAGGTGTGCATTATTTAGAAAAATTACTGCCATTATGTCCTCACTCTTCAATAACTTTTTAAAATGTTAATGCCAAAAATACTAATTTCATTCACTTTCTTGATTTAGGTATTTGATAGAAATCTCTGCTGTCGTCAACTTCGTTATTCAGGAATGATGGAAACAGCAAAAATTCGAAGGACTGGATATCCCATTCGGCATGAATATGTTCCATTTGTTGAGAGATACAGATTGTTAGTTGCAGGCACACCTCCTGCTCATAAGGTATTTCTTCATTTCCTCAACATGTTTCTTTATTTCCTCAGAACTGTGATGGAGAGTAATTTGTAGGATGTTAATGACAATGACCTGTAGCAAATTAACTCATTAACACCCAAATTGTTTTTAATTAAATTCTCAAAGTATTGTAAAAGAATCAAATTTGAGTTGACCAGAAATGTGTGTCCTGAAATCAGGGTGTTAATGAGTTAAGAATTTTTTCAAAAAGGTTTCAGACAAAGTTGAACTTCAAATTTTGTATATTCAATTATAATAATTATCAATTATTATATTTTCTCCCTCAAGGGTTTGGCTGAGCAATTTCACAAAGTGAATTATTATTTTTATTATTATGATCTTTAATTTTTATGAATAGAATCAACAGAGTTGAAATTCCATTTTGGAATTCATTTTATTGAAAACTTATTTACAAAATTAAATGATTTTTGAAGAAAGCTGTAGATCATTAAGTTTCTAACAAGAATGTTGTCAAAACTAAGAATTTGAATAATTTTTATGGAAGAGTACCAAATGACAGAAATACAAAGTCATCCATACATTACTTAATGCTTAAGGCAGAAGAGGGTTTTAAGGTATTATGCTGCGTTACATAGAGCAAGGGGTGTGGTTCAAGCGTTACAAAGAGCTGATTTTTACTTTATCGCTACCGCTTACGCAGTAGAGAAAAAGTTATGAAATGCTGCGCGAAAAACCGGCGAATTTTCGACGGAAAAGCACGTATCACAGGGCCCTGGTAACAAAAAAGTGGATAAATCGAGCTAAATTTAGAAAAAAAAATCCTCCAACACGTGGTGTGGTCAGAATCCACGTTTTGTGGATCTTTAATACTGAAAAATGGAATTTCGACAAAACTTTTTTTTTCTTCCCCAAACATTCGTGAACAATGCTAGCAGCTGAACCATTCATTCTCAAACCATTCTCCAAATTTGATATTCCCCAATTGATCTGGCAGATGTTGCAACCCCTTGAATTTGAAACCGATAGTTTAATTCTGGGGGGTACTTAACACGAAGCCCTTGGGACATTTTTTAAATTAAAATAAATAAATAAAAGTGAAAAAATGTTGTTGTTGTTGGATAGTGTGAAGGATGGACAATGGTGCAGGTCTTATGTTTAATGAAACCTGATTTTTTGAAATCGCAACAATTAAAAATTTTTTTGGAGTGTTTCTAGGACTAAAATATTAAAGAAAAATTTTTTTACTTCTGTTCCTTAAAGATACCTTTCGATATAAGGTAACTTTTTTTTTTAATTTGAGAACTTTTTACGTAATTTGTTCTGAAAGTAAGAGTGAGACAGTACATGCTGTTTTAGCACCTAGTTTTTCCCTTCCATATGAACAGAAACAATACCTTTCAATCAGCCTTATACTAAGACAACAAAAAATTCAATTTATTTAAAAATGTATGAATTCATTAAAGAGTTATTGATAGAAAAGTTTTTATTTATAACAATTTACGCATCATGACGTATTAATTAAATCTGTTAAATTATGAAGAAATTATTGAAAACTAATCTATATTATAGTACTCTAGGACCCAAATAAATGAGCTTGGGACTCTCCCACACTTGCATAATCCCTGATAGAGTCTGCCTGGCTAGTTAGCAGAAATTCATTCATCTGTGCAGTCTTCCTTCCCTCAAATATTCTCCCCACTCGTTTTTGTTAGGTGCAGCCAGCATCACCAATTAATTCTGATAGTCAATTATATTTAGGTTTTATTTGTTGGTTTTGGTCATTTAATTTAGTAAAAAATAATTTTTAATTGCTTGTAATGGTATGTGATTAGTATAAAAAAGAGGTTATTTACCATCAGTGCTGCGTGTTGATGTGCAGCCTATAGCAAGCACTACCCACCTCCTTTCTGACAAACCATGGGGTGAATACTAGGGCCTGGGTCTTTATTTAATTAAAATCTTTATATAAATATTTCTTTTTTTTTAAGGTTCTAGCAAAAGCATAGAAGGTGGTTGATTCTGACTTCTCAAAATTTCAAAGCAAACTGTAGGTTTCGCATTGGTCGCAAATAATTCCTTGTACTCCTTGGGAGTCATTGTGAGTGATCATGACACTGCATTTTTCATAGTAACTGGGTAACTTTATAATATAAACTGGATATGGTGCTACAACGAATCATATTGCCTCCCTTCTCTACTCCCCTGTTCTTCTTTATTCTTTCAGTATTGAATGAAACTAAATTCAGCCATTATGAAAGGATAAATTGACTGGTGAAAAATAAACCATAACTAATGGAGCTCCAACAACACATACTTTCTCACATTATTTCTAAATTTTCAAATTTTTGAAAATTCTGTGTTTTCAATGAAATTTAAACCTGCACCATCCTTTTAACACATTCCATTCTAAGGGATACACCATGTGGTTAAAGCCTGTGTTATGGGTAATGTAGCTATTATTCAAAATGTTGTAAAACAATAACTATCACACACATCTATTTGAAATTGATAAAATCTTACAGTATTGTCTTTTCTTTTAAAGTCTATATATTTTATAATCATTTTATTGTGATACGATAGTGAGAATGGAATTCAAAGAAACACATGTCAATTTTAAATTTTTGTAGAAAGAAACAATGTTACAAAATATGAAAGGAAATGCTGTGAACTTATTTGACAATAATACTGCACTGTAATTATATTTTGTATAATGTAGTTCAGATATAGCCCCATTTGTATTTTTTATTTATTTCTGCCTTTATTTTCCAAAATATACTGTGGTAAAAAATGAAAAATAATCTAGTTCAGTTGAGTCTTTTTTTACAGGAAATTTAATTTCACGGATTTTCTCAAACATTAGTAATTCAGATTGTTTATCAATTTCATGGACGGAGGGACTGCAGTCGGGCGGGCACATGGGCAGGAGGGCAAAATCAAGGACCCACAAATCAAGGATTCTGACCACACTTATTAGAGGAAGTAATTTGCTATATTTTTATGAACAAGATTTATCCTCTTTTTTGTTCCTTGGTCCCAACAACAGGAGCTTTTCTGTCGAAAATTCACCACACTATTACTATACTTTTTGCTTTTCAGGAAGGGGAGAAAATAAAAATATTAGTTTAAATGTATGAAGTAACAGATTTGTTTCATGTATCAAGTATTGAACATTAATTATTATAAATGTGAATGTGCAATACAAAATAATAGCAATACAAATGTTTTATTGTTATATGATTTATTTTTCTACTTTTTATCAATGGGTGGGTGTTTACATAAGCATTACCTATTATTTGGGATGGTGGGGTGTAAGCTTGCATTGAGGGGAATTACATTACAGCGCATCTATTACAAAACATTGCATTGTGCAGACAGACTGCAAAGCTGCCACTACCAAAATATGTGAACATCTACTGAAAGGGGAGGACTATCAGCTTGGGCGAACCAAAGTGTTTCTCAAGGATGCTCATGATGGTATCTTAGAACAAGCAAGAGAGAAACAATTGTTAAAGAGTGTGCTGGTGATCCAGAGCTTTGTCAGAGCATGGGGCCATAGGCGGCGGTAAGTCATCTAACAACAAATATAAACTAGAAGAAAAAAACTCCCATGTATAAATTGTCAATACTTTAGGGTAAAGTCTCCACCTTATTCAAATAAATCCACCTCCACTGCTCCAAAGCTCTTTAAAATTAGGATCTCTTTTAGTATTAGTCTCAAGTGTGTGTGCGAGTGAGTGAGTGAGTGAGTGGTGAGTGGAGGAGTGAGTGAGTGAGTGAGTGAGTTGAGTGAGTGAGTGAGTGATGGGTGTTGAGTGGGACTGAGGACGTGAAGTTTAGCGAGTATATATATTTCAAGAATGTTTTTTGAATTTTTTCCTACAATTTTCAAAGTTCATTTACAGTTTTCTGCAACTTCGAAGAGCAGCAATTGTATTTCAAAAGCATTGGCGAGGACGAGGGCCTCGTCTTGCTTATGCTGTCAGGCGCCTTGGTTTCCTGCGCCTTCAGGCTGCTATTCGATCTAGACAATTGAAATATGAGTTTACAATGTTGCGAGTTCGTATGACAGGTTTACAGGTACTTCATATTCATAAATATTTTGTACATTCCTCTTTCTTTAATCAAAGATAATCTCCTAGTGTTTTTTATAGGATCTTGTTGTTTTATTCTTATGTGTATTATCTTGATTGTTGAGTTTTACATATTAAAATAATTTACATGACCTTTGCATTCATGTCTACTTTAATTGTTTTAGGCCTTCTGTCGTGGCTATTTAGTACGCAAGATATCAAAGGTAAGATTGAAGGTACATTTGCTATTGAAGACCTTTGGTTTTATTCAATTTGTTTATAAACAAAGAAAATGTTTTTCGTTTTGAACTATTTATATGGTACGTTACAAATTTCATGAATATGTTTCCTTCAGGCAAGAAAGGAGCACATTGCATCACTTCTAGCACTTAAGGAGCAGGAAGAAAAAGAATTAAAGAAAGCAGGAAATACAAATTACAAAGAAATTGCAGAAGAAAATTATAGGGTATGCATATTTTAGTTCATTAACTTGAACACATTCTCATCACTGAAAAATACACCAATTATTTGTAGTTTTGAAGAATTTGTATAGTTTGTGGAAAAATATCTAAATTATGTTTTTTAAATATATACATAATTGGAATTTCCTGCTTTAGGTCTTATTCAATAACAAAAACACCTCTATTGATTTTACTATACATTTGTTTGTAATACATTGTGTTGTTTCTTGCAACATTTAAAATTCATATATTCAATATATTTTACTTGATAGAAAAGACTTGCTGAATTGCCAGTGGATGACATAACTCAACACCAAACAGACAAAGTGAATGAGGAAGATACAAATTATTATCACAATATGATTGATCAAATTTTTGACTTCTCTGAAGATATCACCGAATTTTCAGCTAAAGTAAGATATATTTCAATTTATTTTTTATATGTAGTTCTACTATAATCTCAGCATACAAATATTTTTAACAAGTAACAGCATCATCACACATTTTCAATATCATAATATTTTCATTTTTAGATTCGTGATGGTTCAGAAGATGCAATTGTCATACCAGCAGGCCCAGATGCAGAGGAACTTGCACAATACAATTTCCGTAAATTTGCAGTTACATACTTCCGTGGAAATATCAATGGGCAGTATTCTAAAAGGCACATCAGGCATTCTCTGCTGGACCTACCTTCACAACATGACCAGCTTGTGAGTGTATAGATCTTTCTATTTCTGATGGGGAGATTAAAGGACAGTTAGATATTTTCTCTTTTCTTTTCAAACACAATTAGAAATGTGAAAACTAAGTACATACAATGAAGTGATTAAAATGAGTTCTGATATTGGAAAGAATATATATATTTTTAAAGCAAATTCCAGTGTAATGAATAATGTCATAAAGAATCTTCCTTTAGATTCTATCTTGAACAGACATTCAAAATCAAATTCCCAGTAATGAAGATATAAAAGTTAATAAATGAATCCAAATGAAAACCTTTTGATTCTTGTCCTTTATTTTTAATAAAAAAATATAATAAGATCTACGTTTAATGATTTTCTGTTCCAAATAAATATATAATTTAAAACATTTATTTATTTGTTATCTTTGACATTTACTAATTTTGTAGTTATTTACATACCTCTATTCATTTGATAGCTTCATTACTGATTGATTTCAATGAAATGTGCAAAATCAAGGTTATATTTAAGTTGTTATCATTTATGTAACTTTATATTTTCTTGTACAGGCTGCACAAGCTCTGTGGGTGACAATTCTGAGGTTTATGGGAGATTTACCAGAACCAAGATATGAGAAAAAAGAGAAGGACAACACACCTGTCATGTCACTAATTAACAAAACTCTAAGTCGTAATTTTGTTAACAGTAAAAATTTCAAGAATGCAATGGCAGAATTGAATGTAAGTAAATCTTTATTCTAAAAATTAAAAATATTGTTTTAATTTTAATGTAATTTCATGTTCACTATCATTATCATTTTTAAACATGACTAAGTCATATTTTATATAGTTTAACCTATTCATGCTATCATTTGTATCATGAGCTTCCTCCATTTACTCACAATTTACTTGAATTCTTGGAACACTCTTGCATTTTGTTTTATATACTTTCATTTATTTTATTCATTTTTCAAATTATTTAATTTATTTCACAGTGATGAAAGTATGATACCTAAAATCATAAGTAGGAAAGAAAATACAGTATTCCAGAAGTACAATATTTGCATAAAATGAAACTAATTTGGCTGAACATTCAGATGAAATGAGATGAAATTAGATGAAATGATTCCAAACCAGAATTTACCCCTTAATTTTTATCTAATTTTTGTATATAATTATATTTTTTAAATGGATTCAAGCCACTTTTCTAATAGCTAATTTTTCTTAAAGATATTTCCCCCCAGCAAAAGCTCTTTTGCTGTGTTTTTCAATGTTTAAATTTGCGAGTGGTTGGTAGTTGTAGTGAAGAGCCTTTTTACGTGATCTTTCCTAATTTTTTTATTGCCTCATGCTTTTTTAGCATTTATTTTATAAGACATGTTTTTTCTTGCATTCGTTCCCCATCAATTATTATTTGTTGTTATCCAGTCTAGACAAATGTTTCTAAATGAAAAATCAATGAAACAAAATTCTTGAGAAAAGGGTAATTTAAATATGCATGTGTTATTTTTTGAAGGAAGAAGAAGAATACAATAATCTCTCAGAGCCTGCCCGCCGTAAGCTTATTTCACTTACTCTGAAACGCCAAAATAAGCTGAGTGAAAATGTTCGGAAAGGAATTTTAAATGAAGAATACAATGAAAATACCTACACAGACTGGCTAGAATCTCACAGATCATCTAATCTTGAAAAACTTCATTTTATTATTGGTCATGGAATACTGAGACCAGAACTCAGGTACAGTTATTTTAGAATTATTTTTTTATAATATCCAAATTGTTGGATTGATGAATTGGTACCTGAAAATTTTTGAAGCAGCCGAGCCCAACTTCAGTTTTGTGAAAAAACTACATTGGATATGATGACTTTAAATAATGGAGCAAAGATTCAGGAAATGTTTTGGTGCCAGTTAAAAGTAATTATTTTCCTGATGAAATATGTAGAGCTCCCTCTTAAGAGATTGCTCTAAAGTACAACTGTCTGTACAGGTGACAGGGTTTGCAAGCTTACATGAAGCTGAGGGCTACAAAAGTAGCAGCATTGTCGATGAGTCTGATTAACGCTTCTGCTGGTAGGGTTTCCTAAGATATAAAGGTTTCAATGGAGAAGCCAGAATATATCACAATGTCAAGTCAATCCCAGTCCCATGCTTTTTTTTCCCCAAAACCACCTCGACAACTTTCAATATCCTTTCTCATCCTCCCAATACCCAACAGCAGATCTATCACTGGATGGTCTCTTTCTCTGATGTAACATTGCTTCCACTTACTGGAACTCCTTTTATATTTACTATAAAGCTCATCTTGATCTCCTGTATTATCCAACTCTGACACTGTGACATCTGAAGAGCTAGGGAATCATATTTTCTCTTAAGAAACCTAAATAAAAATGAAAGAGAAAATTTCCGTGAAAAACTAATAGAGACAGATGGATGGATACAACATTGTAAAGACTTGCAGTGTATTGAAAAGTGTGAAATTATTAAACACACACCAACACAAATGTAGGCAACTCTCAATTGTAGAACTTCCAGAAACTATGTCATCCACAGCAGCGTAAGTTCCATGCGGACTGACAGGACCACGTCCAGAAGCCCTTAGGATCCGGGAACCCCATGCTAGTCCCCAAATTCAAAATGAAATAATAAGTATTTTATCTAAAACTGGGTCTGATAAAATCAAAGAAGAAATAAATGAAGCGCGGTTTTTACTTTCTCGCACTTACTTTGTAAAAAGAGAATGTTAAGTAACCAAGTGTCGGCAAATATTCAGCAAAAAAAAAAAACTGTTATAGCCTGTCCCTGGTAAACAAAAAAGTGGATAAATTCTGTTGCTATAATTAGAAAATTATTTCCTCTCAAACATGGTGTAGACAGAATACATGTTTTGTGGGTTCTTGAAATGGAAAAATCAATTACCACAAAACGTCTGTCGATCTGCCTGTCTGTGGCCAATGTAAGCGCTTAAACAGCTCAGCTGATTTTCTCCAAAATTGATATTCCCAGATCGATCTGAATGAACACAAAGCTTTAGAAGTTTAATAGGATATTTTGATTTTTGAGTCTCAAAAACTTTTTCAACATTTTCTGAAAAATGCATCCTAATTTTTTGATAAAACTTTGTCCTCAGATAGTGTTGAGGACTCTTCAGTGAAAAAAGTTTAAGTGCAGGTCTCATGGTAGTCAAAATCCCAGAATTTATGAAAATTGTAAACATGCAATTTTTTGGGCATCTTCATAGAACTATAATATAGTTTTTTTCCTCAATGAAATCTATTTTCTAAAGACAGATCTTGAAATAAGGTCATGTTTAATTTCTCAAAAATAGTAGTTTTTGTGTAACATTTCAAAAGTACAAAACTCATGATAGTGATTCTTTCTTTAAACAAAGTCTGCTCTAAGAAACAGATTATTAAAAAGGGTCAAGAACAATGGGATATTACAAGTTCAGACATTTTAATGTTTGCTATAAGGAAATTGTGTTTTATTTGGTCACAGCATTAATCAGTGGAACATATTATTATTAAATGTGATGAATTCAGATAAAAAGTGAGATAATCTTACATTAAAATGACTTTTACTTAAAATATGGTTATCATGGAACGATGTATTAATGTATGATATATTAATTTTTTGCTAGCTTTAACAAAAAATACATTTTTTAACCAAAGGTCTAAAATGATGAAGCCCATAACTTGAAGAAGAAGAAAAAAATGGAAAATTTTGAATTTGTTTCCCATGTAATATTGCATTCCAAAAATACTAACATCAACTAACACTGTTTTGAAATACTTTCAAAGCCCTGATTTGGATTTACAAACAGCACAGAATTTACTCAATGGAGCTTACGAAGAATTGAAGACTGTTGGAATCACTAGGATGATTTGAAAACGATGCAGTAGAATTCTCCAGTCTGGAAAGTAGAAGTGAAATTTAATGATAAACAAGTGAAGAAAACTAAATGGCATTTTGGCAAACTTTGCTAGGACCCACGACTCACTGATGGCCAACAATAATACAAACTTAATATTTACTATGGATACCTAGTAGTACCTAGATGCCATTAACAACTTAGAGCGACTATTTGTTGGAATGAAAAATACAGTGGCCATTTTAAAAGTGATTCAGCTACAAGTTTTGATAGATCTTTCGGATGATGAAATTTACAAAGAAGCACAAAACCTTCAATCACAACACCCTGCAGCTGTTATGGATAACTTGTTACAGTTATTGTCTACATCATTTGCACATTTGTTTAAAAAGTCAAATTTCAAAACTAAGATCTGTTAACGATCTTGCAAAAGAATTAATAACTGAACTTGCTTCTTATTAAAAGTTTTTGCAATGTGTGCACAGTATTGATATTATTTTTGACACATCCTATTACGCTCTGGGGGAAAACAATTTGGTAAAAAAAAAAAAATTCTACTGTTATTGATTAATTTGTGGATGTGAAGAAATCAAATTGTGATCAAAATTTAAATTTTTAATTATACCATGAATTTGCAAAAATGATAGTTTATTTAATTTTATTGTAATAAATGTTTTCTCTTCTAAAATTCAGATTAGAATCACAAAATTAAATTAATTACTTGTCTTTAATTAGGGGCTTATGTATTACGTCAGTCCAAAGGCCTCCTCTGTTAAGCCAATTCAACTGAATAATTTTATACCATTTGTTATAGAATGAATATCTTATTTTTTTTCGTAATCTTCCTGTAATAACTGATCACTATCCCTATGAATCAATTCTTTACTTAAGTCAATACCTTTTTTTCTTAACCTCATCACCTCCTCCAATAAATAACCTTTATTATTCCAAAATCTTTCCTTTTTGTAATCAAACTTCTCAGTCTCTTTTTTCTTATCTATTTTCCAAAAAACTTGCTTTAATAACTCGTTTCCTCTCCCTCTCCTAATCTTTTTCTCAAACTTACATGCTATTTTGCTCATCTTTATTCTCTTTGCCTCTTATTTTTATATGTATCCTGGTGTGCAATAATCTGTTTCTAGAATCTATATTAAAAATCTTTCATGTATTACTTCCAGTTTCCTCCTTTCCTTCCATCACCAAATTTCTGCCCCCTCCTCAAAATAGAACCAACTATAGTATCATATCATATATCCTTGTCCTACTTGCCCAGATATATATACATCTTCTCTTAATTATACCCCAAACTTGTTTCATAGCCACCATCCTCTTCTTATGTATTTCTGCTTCTGATGTGCTTTTCATAACTCCCCCTCCCTTGTTCAGCCAAGATCCTAAATACTTGTAGTCATTCACCATCTCTAAAATACTTCCTTTCCATATAATTTTCGCATCCTTCTGCCCTTTTTAAACTCCATTGCCATGGTCTTATCTGTATTTAACTCAACAAATTTTTCTAATCACCCCATTCTTCTCTAAAAATGTTTTTAACATCCCCATCATCTGATTCAAGTCTGTGACATTGTCTGCCAATAACACCACATCATCCACATAAGATAATGACAAATTTTTTATTTTATCAAACAATATTTCTCCATCCTGGCCCTTCCTTAATTTCTCTTCTAAACTTACCATATATAAATTGAAAATAAATCAATAGGCAACCCTCTCTTAACCCTTTATTGGTCCAGAATATATTGCTAAATTTCCCTTCTATCATCACCCTCCAACTCATTTCTTTGCAAATCATTTTTAAGCATCTAATGATCTCTTCTTCAATTCCTAATTAATATAAATTTTAACAGCCTCTCCGTTCACATTAATAAAGGCCATCTTCAGATCAATAAATACAGCCCATAGGATTCTCTTTCTTACTTTTATCTCCCTTCCTATAATATAGTTCAGTGTGTAAATATTATCCGTAACTCTCATACCACTTTTGAATCCTGTTTGATTGCATGATAAAAGTCCCTTCTCTCTCTTCAGTCTGCATCTTACAACTCTCATCCGTATTTTATACAATTCTGACAAGACTGTTATTACTCTGTAATTTTTCACCTAGTTTCTGTTCCCTCTCTTGTAAACTGGAATTTTTACACCTTCTTTCCATTCCTCTGGAATAACTCCCTGCTCAGTTATCATATTGAATAAGCTTTCAATATTAAGTCTTATCCCTTCTTCCTTAAAATAGATCCAGAATTCATTCAATATTATATCACATCCTCCCACTTTCTTTTTCTGTAAGTAATCCTTTTATAACATTTCTTATTTCTTCCTTGTCTATTTTTCTCATAAAGTTTTTTTCCAACCTTGGGCTCACCCCCTTTTCCTTCACTTCCATGTCATCCTGACTTTCAAATCTTTCCTTAAACCATTTGTACCATGCTTTCATGACTATTTCTTTTCCAATTATCCCTTTATCTTTTTCTCTCTCTGCCCTTAATGTATCCCATGCCTCACTTTGAGATTTAACTTCTCTAAGCACATTTATTCTTCTATCATTTCAATTTCTTTTTTTATTTCTACAGAACTCCTTAAAATCTGCTTTTATCTATCATATCTTGCTTTATTTATTACTTTCTTTTTCTATTTACTCAAGATCTCTTTTAATAAACCAATTTTTTAACCACTAATTTTTTGCATATTCACATTCCAAAATTTGCAGGGATGAAATTTACTGCCAGCTTTGTAAGCAACTGACCAATAACCCATCAAAAGCTTCCCATGCTCGTGGCTGGGTGTTGCTTTCTCTTTGTGTGGGATGCTTTCCTCCTTCTGAAAAATTTGTGCAATACCTACGATCATTCATACGTGAAGGACCTCCAAATTATGCTCCCTATTGTGAGGGACGACTCAACCGTACCTTCCAGAATGGATGCAGAACACAACCTGCAAGTTGGCTGGAGCTCCAGGTATGCAATTAAAAATAATATCTTACACGCACGCACGCACACACGCACGTTGCGCACACAACACACACCACAAACACACACACAAAAAACAACACACACCAAAAAACACACACAAAAAACACACACACACCAACAAACACACACACAAACCACAACTCACAAACCACTCCACAAAACACACACACAAACACAACACACACACAAAAACACACACACACACCAACACACACAATCACAAAAACACACACCTTCAAACACCACACACACACACACACACACACAAAACACACCCTGGAAAAATAAGAACATGAAAAGCCAATGATAAATGGATTTCTTGAACGAAACAGATGATCATACATCCTTTCCCCCATCATTTGTACAATTTTCACATTCATGTCAGTTTGAGGGCTCAAAATCCATTTGAGACACCTTGCAATGCTGAAAGAGTATTCCAAAGACAACAATTCAGATGAAAATTGTAACAGAAAAATTTAATTTTGAAACAATTACTTTCAAATGTTTTGTGCTTCATTGTAGACACTATGAGCTAAATATAAATTTTATAGATATGCTTCATTAATGGCACCTGCTCCTAGCTATTTCAATGTAGTAAAACAAGGAAAATTAACATATTTTGTCTTGAAATGTCTTTGTGTGTTGCACTTAAATTTCAATAATCTCTATGTATTAATCACTAGAAGATCACATTTCATGCGACTTGATATAAAGGCTTCATTTGAACTTCAAAGGTACTTCTTAATAGATACATTTCTTTATGTCATATTGATGTGCAAAACCATTTTATCTTTAAAATAAATTACACAAAATTTGCAATCACGTCTAAAAAGCTGACAAAGTTTTTAAATATTCACATCATACTGTTGGTTTTAGAACTTTACAAAATGTATAATTTTAAGCGCTATTTCTATACTAGATTTTTTTTTAAATTTCTTTCTTTATTGGTCTCTATAAGTTGCACAACTTTGTACGTTTTTCAGGCTACTAGATACAAGAGTCCAATTGTGCTATCTGTAACATTAATGGATGGTAGCAGTTTACAAGCAGAGGCAGATTCTGCTACAACAGCTGCAGAACTCTGTTCACAAATTTGCAGAAAGCTTCAAATGCAAGATGACTTTGGATTTTCTTTGTTTATTGCACTATATGACAAGGTATTTTCTCTTACTGACTGAATTAACCATATTGCATAATTATTTAATAGATAATGCAGTTCTATCAGCATAACTGTGAAGTATATGTATGTGCAAATAAAGTAATTTGTCTTATTATTGTTCTTTTACTGAACTCAGGTATCTTCAATTGGAAGTACTACGGACCATGTTATGGATGCAATTTCTCAATGTGAACAATTTTCAAAGGAACGAGGAGGCCAGGAACGGAATGCTCCTTGGCGGCTTTTCTACAGAAAAGAGATGTTTTCTCCTTGGCACGATCCCACATTGGATGCAGTTTCAACAAATCTCATATACCAACAGATTGTCCGAGGAGTAAAATTTGGAGAATTCCGATGTGATAAGGTCAGATGATATACTAATAATACATCCATCATTCTTATGAACATAAGTGAAGGAAACATTTCACCAATTTCATGAAGTCATTTCACATTTATTGTGCTCTGAAATATTTTATTACGAATCTAATACTTAGCAGTCCATTATGGAATGTTTTTGTACCATCAAATGCACTAATTTTTGATTTTTCATATTAGAAGGCTTATACAGGGCAAAGTCTTGTGAACTATCATAAACATTCATGTTCTTAAAACTTTTTTTAAATGCTTGGATATAATTCATATTTTTCTTTTCTGAAAATTTGGGATGGATATCTTTGTGGAAATTTATGTGCTGCTTCCATTTTATACATATTGCAAACTTAAAACCATAACTGTTTTTATCTAGTTCAATGTTATTATTGTGAATGTGTTTTTAATTTTACTTTCTTTTGACAGGAGAGCGATTTGGCCATGTTGGCTGCTCAGCAGTACTTTGTGGAATGTGGGCCAGAGCTTGACAATAATAACTTGGGACAACTGTTGCCTAACTACATTCCTACACACATTTTGCAGAGTGCTGGAGAAAGGGCACTAGTGCGTTGGCACTCACTTGTAGTGGAGGCATTTAAGAAGGTATTTCACATGATTTCCCAGAATGTGATTATGATGTGAGCCATGCTGTAACAGTAATATGATTTCCATTGTTTAAAGACCATGATTATTATGAAGTGACCATTGTTAAAAATGGAACACTATGTCTACAATTACATTTAATTTAAATAATTGCAACAAAAAATTAATTAACACTAGTGAACATTTTTGGTAAACAAAAGGAAACCAAAATTAAAATCTTGGTTTTCAGTCCATTCATTCAACTTGTCACAAAGTTCAAATTAGTGTGTCCTTATTCCAATATTATATTTTTTGGATTTTACTACTTTTTTTATTGACAATTTACCACTCAATCTGTTCTTATTCTAGGATATAATACACTTTTATCAATTGAGATCCACTCAACTACTCCCAAACATATCTAATTATCTTTCTCATATTTGTACAGATTCATATATTTCAGATCTGCCTTCAAAAAGTGATTGAACTAGACTGATTATTTATTTTATGTTCTCTCAATCTATGTTGCCATTGCTTAGTAAAACTTTTTTTCTTTGTCTGTCACTACATATCCAAAGCCACATTGTGATGTCTCATTACAATTGATAAAACCACTGCAGAAATAGTCAAGAAAGTTATAATTATTTATTTTTCATTCCATTTAAATTGATTGATATCTTTTCTTACTTGTCAGTTTTGATTATTTCTATAAAATATAATTCCAAAGCTTATATTTATACATAAAACAAATGTACATAGGTACAATATAGAAATTTGCAAAATTATGAAAGGACTTTTCAACAGACCACAATATATCACAATCTACCACCCTGTTTACAAGATCCATAGACACTAGTCTCAGAGGAGAATCTTTGAAACTGAGGAAGAAGAGGACCAAAACTGGTCAATGATACTTCATTACTAATTGAGTTGCTAGTACATGGAATGCTCTTCCAGAATATTCTATTCGGTGGAAACTATTGATTCATTTAAATATTACCTTTAAGCACTATTAAGTGAACATTACATATGAACTAATGGCATTGGTAGTTTAAATTTTGTCAGTGAAATAGACATAATATAAAATGTCATGTGTTATAATATAAATAAAATGTAAATGACACGATCTGAAATATGCTTGATATGATATGAGGTATGATATGGTGTAACAATATAGGTAATGTACGATAAGTATAGAACACTTTCTTGCAGCTACCATAAAGAATGAATACAAAAGGCAATGACTAAGATAGGGTTTCCTGATGGAATTATAGACAAATAGTGAACAACGCTTTATAGTTTCTTAATTTACAAAAAATGTATTAATATATGATGTTTCATGACAAGATAGGGCCACATCTTCAGGTACATTGTTCTAGAAAAAAACAAACCCTGAGTTTATGTATGTGTAAAATACCATTGTTTATTGAAACATCAATTAGTCACTCTCTTCACATCAGTTAGTCAACATTGTGGTAAGTGAGCAATGACCACTCTATCTTCCAAATGTGTAGCAATTTTGACTAGTGTCATATGCATATGTGTCATATTGTTCAACATTTAAATATTTTAATAAGTGACAGAATTTTACAGCTATATTTTATCATGAACTCATTATTTGTTTTTCTCAAAATAATATTCCTGAAGTGGTGGTCCTATTTGACAATATTAAATATTACATACCAATAATCATACTGAAGAATATTTTTATAAAACAAAGTACTTTTTACCTTTTTTCACAAGCATTCACCATTCACCATTCACCATTCTTAAATATTTCTTTGCCCCATGAAAGAGGAAAGAAAATTATAAAATAATATTTAAAAACCTCACGAGTTTATATCATAATTACATTACTTTTCTTTTGCCTAATAAACTTGACAATTGACTAACTCTAAATAAATGCAAAATTGTATTTCTTTTTAACCTTTATTGCTCCAGAGCTACTATGTTCAAGAAGCCACTCCTGCTATCAAAGCAAAGGAAGACGTTGTTACTTTTGCTAGACTGAAATGGCCTTTATTATTTTCAAAATTTTATGAAGCTCTCAGAGTATCAGGTAAACAAAAATACAAATACATGCAATAAATTACTATCACAGAAAAAAATAATTACACAACTTAATTTTCTTCAAAATAGGGACCAAACTCCCAAAGGATAATGTGATTATTGCTGTAAACTGGACTGGAATCTACATTGTTGATGAGGAAGAACAAGTTCTTTTGGATTTATCTTTCCCAGAAGTTTCTTCTATCAACTCTCATCAGTAAGAAAAATATTCTTTGGCATTTTTTTTCTTTGTATTGGATATAAATCGCTTTTGTTGTTGAAAATTCACTTATATTCGTTTCAAAAAAGGAGTTGCCAAAGAATCTTCAAATATATGAAATTAGAAAATTATCTAATTTTCAAATAATAAAAATGTTCTTATTTGTTTTAATTGATTAATAATTGGGAAACATTTCTTGTATGAAAGTAACTTATGTGCAAAAATATTTCAGGATAAATGCTGGGATATCAATTAGATTCACACTGAAAACCATTCAAGGACATGAATTTGTATTTCAGTGTCCTATGACAAGTGAACTAGTCACCCTCATTAATGATCTCCTCAAAGGTCTCAAAGACAGGTCTCGGTATGTGGTGGCGACCCAAGAATATCGTTCCTCGGGTAAAGTCAAACAATATAAAAAGTTTTTAAAATGTGTGTTCAGTGGATTGCTTGATAACATAATGTTCAATAATGAAATGTTGCAGACACAAATTCAACTGTGCTTACATTGCAAAAGGGAGATTTAGTTCTACTGGAAGATGGTGTGACAGGAGCCAACTTTGGAGAATCATCATGGCGCACTGGCAGAAATGAGCGTACAAAAGAGGAAGGTAACTTCCCTATTGAAGTTGCTTATGTTCTCCCAACCTTAAAACCACCTCCTGAGAAGATAATGGTGAGTATTATTCATTAATAAGGTATTAGTGCAAAGATAACCTTAAAAATTTGACATACATTTTCATGACCAAAAATTGGGAGAATGCCCAAGATAGCAAGTGCTTTTAGTATTTAGTGAGTTTATGAGGTGGGCGCTGTAATTTTAAAATTAATACATTTTTTATTAAAAGGCAAAAAATGTCAATTGATAGTGAAAAGATTATGAAGAAGATAACAAAGACGCTACTTTTGAAACTAGTCCCTAAAAATAAGATTGAGGATCAGGGACATACTATGTGCCTCTCTCTTGTCCCAATATTTTCCTCAAGTTGAGTCTGAATGAGAGTATACATAAAGTTTGATTTCTCTGTCTCTCCTCTTTGTGTCTACAACTAGAGAAATGTTTTTAACAAAACAAAGTTAAACATTGTAATAAATTATATTATTTAATCACTTATCAGGTTCAAACATGCCATTCAGAATTTTCATCATATATGTTTACTTTTCCTAATGTAATCTTTCTCTAATTGAATAATATTACATTTCAGGAACTGTTTACTAAAGATGTAATTATCGATAATGTGGTGGTAGACAAACTCAACACAGCCGCACGACGCAAACTTTACACTCTTGCAGAGTTTGCCAAAGATAATTTTAGGTAAAAAAAGTCACAAATTTGTATTTTTGATGTGATACCACTACTATTATTACAGATTCCATTGAATGATGTTTTATCCAGAAAAATCTTATACTTCATATGTTCCCTCATAACATTTTCTTTTTAACAGACCCAGCATAAATGTAACCATTTCTCGTGGCCAGACAATGAATTCTGCCAGAAATCGTGTACAAGAAGATTTGTGGAAACATTCAAGAGAACCACTGAAACAACCACTTTTGAAAAAGTTACTGGCAAATGATACACTTTCAGCTCATGCATGCTTGGCATTTAGTATGATTCTGAAGTATATGGGTGATGTACCAACAAGGAGAGCGTTTGGGGGATGCGAGTTCACTGACAAGATATTTGCTATTGGACTCAGGCAGGTGGGTAGCATTCGAACAGTGTTTTCTTTATATTTTATTTACATTATCAATTAATTTTTGGCTTTAAAATCATGTGATTTTATTGAAACATCAGGAGGTATTGCGGGATGAAATTTATTGCCAGTTAATGAAACAATTAACTTTCAACCGAAATCATCTCAGTGAAGACAGAGGTTGGGAGTTGATGTGGCTGGCTACTGGAACCTTTTCTTGCAGTCAACTTGTACTAAAGGTAATGTGGTTTTATTTATGAACCTACTTTCTTAATGTTTAGGGCTGTCTCATGAAAGATATTTCAATATATTTATATATATATCATAAAACAACAATAAGAAGGCTGCTGTAGAAGAAGTAATTCAACAAATTAATAGAAATTATTCAGAGAGAGAATTCAAAGGCAAATAGATGTATAAAGAATAGAAATACCTGTGTATTATTTCTTTTATAAAGCAATAAAGACAAAATTCACACTTATTAGTCTTGTTCTATTGTAGTTGAATTGAAAGAGGAGAGAAGAATATTAAACTAAGTAAAATTAACTTTTTTTGTACATTGTAAATATCAATAGTACATTTTGGATTACAGGAACTAACTCTCTTCCTGAAATCGCACACTCACCCTGTGGCCCAAGATGCATTGCAACGACTTCAGAAAACTCTGAGAAATGGAAACAGAAAGTACCCACCCCATCAAGTTGAAGTTGAAGCTATTCAACACAAAAGTACACAGATCTTCCACAAAGTTTATTTCCCTGATGACTCAGATGAGGTATGATCTCACAGCAAACAACTGCGTCTTTCATACAACAGTGTTTACATTTTTACTTTTCTCTACTAATGACTCATCAATTACGTTTAGAAGACATTTAAAAAGTTGTTTTGATAACATTCCCATTAAAAAATTCAAAACTTTTAAAAGACTAATATTTGTTTGACAGCATAAAAATACATGGTTTGTATGCTTTTCTTCACAATTTTTTTCAGGCTTTCTTGGTAGATTCAAGTATGAGAGCAAGTGACTTATGTGAAACTATTGCACAACGTCTAGGAGTCATATTCAGTGAAGGTTTCTGTCTTTTTGTCAAAATATGGGACAAAGTATTTTCTGTGCCTTATAATGACTTCTTCTTTGATCATATTCGTGAACTAACAGAGTGGATGAAGAGGGCTCGGCCATCTCGAGCTGGTAAGATTTTCATTGTATTAACAAATTAAGATAATCCCAGATGATACACAGCTCAGTATAGATTATAATCAGTTGTAGGCATGCACATCCATTCACAATCTTTTCTGAGAGTTGTGACATAGAAGGACTTGGTCTGTGCTGTCCCTCTTAATTGAGAGATACATAAGAATCAGTATCTACTGTACTGATGTTCATCCATTCAGGGATATAAAGAGTGAAGGGAGAACAGTATGTTATATGAATATGCTAGCAATTGTTCATTGTAATATTCTAGATACTCTCTTGCTTTAGCACAATCATATTTCAGTGTTGTTCATTTATCATATAGTTTGTGTGAGACAACAAAGATTTTTTTATGGGTAACATCTGGTAAGCATATATGCCCCATAATATGTTATTTATATTTAGAGAGTGGCATTGTGGGACAAAATCAAAAAAGGAGATCCTCTAATATTGTTATCTCTAGTTAAGACCTTTAACACCAGTAAAATATTTGTGTAACTCAAAATATGTATTATTATAAAAAGGGGAAGTATAATACAGTTGTATAATGTGCAGTGATGGGCAGAAAGGGCCTGTTTCACTGGTACCTGATAAAGTGTCTAATACCGTATCCAGAAGTTATCTTACTGATATGTTGAAATAGTGTGTTTTACGAGTACCTGATAATTCTATCTAGTGGTTAAAGTATCCGGTAAATAATCTAGAGGTTGGAGAGGCTGCTAGATGTTTGGCTGGTAGATAACTCTAAAATTACAGAATGTGTGTTAACTTGCTGTGATTTTCAAGAAATGACTGGTATTTCCGTGATCGACAACATAATAGAGATTATAGACGATGAATTCTTTGATGGTTTAGAGCGTCCGCCCAGATGACATGTCGGCCAGAATATTTTGAGATCCTTGATGAACAAGATTGCAAATCCCGTTTTAGGTTAAGGAAGCTTACGGTTAGAAAAGCTATGTCTTTGATAGAAAAGAAAAGAAAATATTTGTGAATATAGACTTATATTTCTGTAATGTCTTGCTAAAGTAATGGTCCTGTTAAATTCATTTTATATCAAAATAATAAAATGTATACTTTGTGTTTTGTTCGCAATTCTGAGGTATCACCAATGAACTGATTTCTCACTCTGCGTTATTTTGCAACAGGGTCATTTTTTATCGTAATTTGAGTCTTTAATGAGGTGAGCAAGTGTAGTGAGGTCATGAACCTTTCAGTGAAAGTTCTTTCTCCTCTAGCTCAAAATTAACTCTCCACTTATTTGATTTTGGGCCAACATTGAAATTTCAAGAGCTCCCTGAAGTGTAACTACAAACTGTGATCACAAGCTACACAGCACCTTTTCATTGTAAGGATCAAGTACAAGCCATGTAACAAACATCATTACCTGACAAAGATCATTTAATGTGTTTTCTGTTAAGTTAGTTGTATATGCTTTATCACTCATTAAAATAAGTATGCTACCAGTATGTCAATATTTCAGGTAATAATGTTCAGTATCAATATCAAATATTCTTCATGAAGAAGTTATGGCTTAATACTGTGCCTGGAAAGGACAAAAATGCTGATATTATTTTCCACTTTCACCAGGAACTACCAAAATATCTCCGAGGTAAGTTCACTGCAAAAGATAAAATATATTTTATTGTTTTCTTCATAAAATTGCTTATTATTTTTTCCTTTTATTCTATTTATATATATATCATAAAACAAGTCTGGAAAGGAAGAAAATTAATAGAAAAGTATCCAAAGAATAATTTGGAAATTAACAACAAAAATAATGTTATTTTAAGGTTTCTGCAAGTTTAGAACTATTGTATTACCTTCCGTGTTTAAAAAGTCAACAAAAGAGTAAATTAAAAATTCTTTTTCTTTTCAAGGTTATCACAAATGTAGTCGTCAAGATGTTGTACGTTTAGGAGCATTTTTGTATCGTGTGCAATTTGACACAAGCAAAGAAGAACTAAAAGAAATTCCGTGAGTAGACAACCTATTGATACTGGAGGGGTGTGAAATAAAAACCTGATAACCCACATTTTGACCCATAATAAATAGATACATGAATTCAGTCATACCTCCCTTTGCTTGATTTGAACTCAATACAATATTTCTTTTAGATCCATGCTGGGGGGATTGATCCCAGTTAATCACATTAGAGCTCAAAAGCCAAATGATTGGATGAAAGCCATTAGTGCTGCATACCAGCAGGATTCAGGTAAGCTCTTTAACATGTGAAATATAAATGGTCGTGATTAAAATTAAGATCTTTTTATGCCCTGCTAATGATAAGTTTATACTTAAATTAACTGTCTGCTTTTGTCAGCGGTGGATGGAGGACAAGTCGAATAATGAATAAGACAAATTTCTCAACAATGCACCCCCAAACATTTTGTTTATTTTGTGAAAAAGAATAAAAATTGAATATACTTGTTTAGAGTTCTCCCAAATAATTGTTAATTGTAATATGAAATTTAATTTTTTATTAGGAATGTCAGTAGAAGATGCAAAAATAAACTTTCTGAAACATGTATACCGATGGCCAACTTTTGGATCAGCATTTTTTGAAGTGAAACAATCCACAGAAAGAAGTTATCCTGAATATGTTATCTTAGCCATAAATAAGCACGGAATAAGTGTAATCCATCCTGGCTCAAAGGTAGGAGAAAAATAATTTATTAGATAAGTAGATAGTACTAGAGTAAAATCTACAATTTATTCTATGATTTTTTTTTTTTAACTGATTGCCTTACAGTCAATCTTGCTCAACATTTTAGGCATGTTTATTAATGCTTATGGTCAATGTTTCAATTTAACTTAATAAATATTCGCATAATTTTCAAGGAAGAATTCTTTCTCTCCCTCTCCCATTCTCTCTTTCTTTCTTTCTCCTCCCTTCTCCTTTCTTTCTTTCTTTCTCCTCCCTTCTCCTCTCTTTCAATAACGCTGTAAAATTGTTTCAGGACATTCTTGCTCAACATCCCTACACTCACATTTCAAATTGGTCATCTGGAAATACATATTTTACTGTGAGTGTGGGAAATTTGGTTCGTGGAGTGAAACTACTCTGTGAAACTACACAGGGTTACAAAATGGATGATCTTCTGACATCATACACACATGCAATGAGAACTGCTGTTTCTAAGCAGAAAACTCAATTATGAAAATGAAAATTTTTCTCACCAACCAAAACTCGTGAGACAACTCATGCCTCAGTTCTTCACAAAGCTAAGAAGTTTCATTGACAGCAGAACTTTTATTAATGAAATTTGTAATTTGTCAGTAAAGTTAACTAATTGATACATTGGAGTAATCAATACTTCTTACCTTATCAAGATTATCATTGTCGATTAATGTAAAGAAAGGTCAGGAATGAATTCAGTTCAAAAGTAAGAAAATTTAATAGAGAAGAAATAACTTACCTATTCTAAAGAATTACGTACATGAAATTCTATTTCATTTTTAGGACAGGGAGAAACTAAAAAACAGTAAACATTGTATTGATTACCATAAACCACTGCTTTGTACATACTCCTTATATGAGCATTTATTTCCAATCATCAGAAGAAATTGTACAGCAACAGTTTGTAGAGATTGTCAATTATTTATGTAAAAATATATTATATTCTTGAAAAAGAGAGATAAAAGAAATTGGCTTATTTTTTTTAAATAAATGTACATTTTCAAATAATTTATTGAAGAGATCCTTGGACTTGTTTTGACCCACAAAAAGTTTCCTAAATATTAACTTAAAATATTTTGATTATCTTTTTCCTATTATTAATTACAAATAAATTCTGCAATAAAAATTACAAAGAAACCCCAAACATTTTAGTTAAGAAACTAAAACGGTGAACAAAAGTAGACTACCAAATATTTAATGGCAGGCAACCTCTTCCTCGGAGAATTGCTGTTGCATGATGTCAGCTGTATCATAAGAAATAATGAACTGAGTATGATAATTCAGTTGGTACAATCAATCACAATAGGGAGAATAACAAATTAATTTTTTTTTCAATCAAAATCAAAACTTCATTCCCCCCCAATTACTGGGTATTGAACAAAACTAAAGAAATCTCTCATATGGCAGGAGGTTGCATAGGTGTTTTTCAACTTTTGTCTGCATTGCAAATGAGTAATATAGATATTTTTGGATTTTTCTTGCGCCTCTGGGTATCTAACAAAACCGTTGTCACCTCTCAAAAGGTCGGAGGTGGCATGGTTTTCTTTCAATTTCTGTGTGCTTTGGAAATTAGTAACACAGATAATAAAATACAATATTAGATATATTGTAATTTATGGCTAAATTATTTATGGGAATGGTACAGAAAGAATTATAATACGCATGAGACAATACAAATTTGTAAAAGATGGTTTTACATATAAGATAACATTGACACATTTACGAGTCACATTTAATAATAACAATAATACTACATACATAAACTACACTTATTACAAAATACTTAATTGGTATTAGAGATTATCTTCATTTAAAATTCAAAACAATTAGAGTGTATTGATACATTGATTTACATTACTGCAACTTTATTGCATATTTTGTACATGAAAATAATTATATCGTAAGCTCACACACATATTTTATTCGTTGTTACACATTCACTGTATATTGATGAACATGCTGGTAAAGTACAACTTCATTAGGAAGTTAAGTACCACCAAGGGAGTAATTTGGTATGTCACAAATTATGGTAATATTTGAAAGAAAACCTAAAACATCTTGAAAAGAAAGATTTCTTTAAAACCTGTGTTCTTAATGTTACACTAAAAAAAATAATATTTTGGAACATCACTTACAACAAAATTAATTGTATAATTGTTATTCAAACATTTATAATATAGAGAATTATATTCATTCAAGATAGAATAGTTTCTTTCACTGTTTGATGTTTCTGTTATTAAGGGTTCACAATTCTGTTGTCGCAACTCCCCAATACTGTTGCATCCGTCCATCTTGTTCTAGAGAATCTTGATTTGCAGCTCTTTCTTGAATCACTGCAAAGTTGTATTCAAGGTTATATGGCATGAGCCTTTGAAGGCTTCCGAAGTATGCTGCATTTGGACCTCCATTTAGGAACCTCCCCGAGCCAAATCTTGTGGCTCTTGACACCGGGTTAAATGATCTTGCACTACCAAAATGACGTGAAAGGAAAGGAGCAACAGCTGGTGTAGAAGCTTCTGCTAGGTGAGGACTACTACGTGAAAGTGCCTTGCCACCTCTAGGCCATAGAGGATCTGGTAGAGGCTCCCTTGATGGCCTCACCAAGCCACTACGAGAAAGCGTATCCAGTTCTTTGTCAAATAACATTTGAGTATTTTGTTCAAGCATGTATTCCCAACATTTGAACTGCTCTTCTGATGGCTGAGTACAAGCAGATCTATCAGATCCTGTCTCTTCACCTTCAGTATCTGCAAGGTGTCCATTACTATAACTGTCCAATTTAGCTCTTATGGCCTTTAAAACACCACCCCCACTGCGTTTACTATCTCTATAACTTCTCCGCTCCAAACCTTGCACTCCTGCTGATATTTTCTTTGTGCCATTTTCATGCATCAAGACAGATTGATGCTGTGGGGGTCTCACAGAAGATACATTATTACCTGTTTTTACAAACATTGAAGTCTTGTTTCCATTTGTCTCAGACCATATTGGACTGTGCTGTATGGAGGGACGCCTGCTTGACACTGAACACTTTTTACTTGTACAATCACTACTAGCATGATCACTTTGTCCACTGGGAGATGATCTGTCTGCATCTGGAATATTTCCATTTCGGGATGCCACTGGCCGGGACTCGTGTAATGTCCTCCCAATGCCAGGTTTAAAAGGAGGAGCAACTGCGGTCAAGCCATTGTTGTAGAAAACATCTCCACCGTTGGAGATATTCTGACAGAAACATTTTGGAGGACCAGAACTCTCTTGACTGCTATCATCAGTGGCAAGTTGGTGTTGTTGCTGTTTGCCTCTGCAATAGTTAAAGATTTTTGAGTTTCTTAAGCATCCAAAGAATATTATTGTTTTTTATTTTTGAAGCTATTGTGAAAACATTGAAGAATATGTCTACCCTTATCATAGGAAGAGAGCAGATTTTCTTCTGAGAAAAAGCAAGTTAAAACTGATTTATTTCATTGATCTTAAAAACAAACTAATATATTAAAAAAAATCAGAAGTAAATATTAGTATGTGTTACAGAAACAATACTATTTTTTAAGAAAGAAAGGAAGAAAGAAAGAAAGAAAGTTTTTTATCAAATTTATTAAAAATGTGTACTGATCTCTGCAATTGGTTTCTCTAGTAAATAATAAACTTAACAGTGGAAAATGTCCAGATGTACTAAACAGATAATAATCAAAACCTATCTATTTACAAAAGATGGCAAAAAACTTACATCAAATTGCAGACCAATAGCTCTAAATCCCCACTTTCAGCAAAGTGATGTTTCAGAATATATCAAATAACGAGTTATTAATGAAGTATCACTAATACAAATTTTGCAATTACTTACTGTACAATCAGTCCTGTAATGCTAGCAAGAAAAAGAAAGAAAAAAACTATATTCTGTACTGTGCATAATAAAGTGCTATTTATGTATTGTATGTTGGGCTAAATATATAGAGAAGACAAGGCATGAATAACGACAGTTCTTGGTACATTTTAACAATCATTTTTAATAAGTTTGCTCATTATGCATATGAACATGAAATCAGCAATGCCTGCTCAGGTGTTTTTCATGTCCTAAGCATTATTTTAATTTAATGCCCTTTTGCAATAGTATTTTCAAGTTTTTGTCAGTGAGAAAATATAATGAACAATATCAATGATGTTTTTAATTATGAAATTTACAAGAAATCCATTTTTATTAAATCAAATTATTACACAACATAGTTCCCAATGTAGAAGTCTATGATATTTTGCAGAAATATAATTGCAAATTGATCCTTTAACGAAATGGAGTAATATTGCATTTATGATTTTAAAAAAAGAGAAAAGAAATCTTACTTTTTGAAAAGTCTCAACATTTTTTCTGAGCAGTAGTTTCTAATAGAAACCCAATAACTCAGTAGTCATTTGTTTTCTAATATCCAAAGTTCCAATTCACTGTTTTCCATGAATTTCAAGAGCTACCTAGATGTTAAAGACTATCAGCCCTAATGCTGGCCACATCACCACAAAATGTAGAGAATATTGTTTTTGCCACAAAGAAGTGAGAAATTGGCACAAGTTGCAAGTCTCTTTGAACAACACTTTTCAAGAATTGTGATTGATCTCAGAGGGACTAAAACTACAAAATTCAATTTCAACGTTATTTCATTATGGTGTTGAAAATTTGATGCAACTGAAATCATCTATTATCTAATTCTGAAGTACTAAGGGGTATTTATAGGCTATTAATTGTTATTTTTGGAACCTTTATGGTTTTCATTTTACTTGTTTTTCATGACGACTTGAATTTTTGAGAAGATAGCACAAAGGCCATAGTTCCAAAATTAGAATCTCAACACACTCATTCTTGGATCTTCCTTTTAGCTTGAGATCTGATATGATTATGATGATGATTATGTAAGTAATAAGCTTCAAGATGATGGTACAACAGGCAGGGGAAAACAGGAGATATCTAAGGATACCTGCCGTAAACCGACTTGGATTGGTCACATATTGAATTCTGAACCCAACATTGGAAGGGGAGAAGTCTGATTTCTAGAATGTAGGTTGCCCTTGATGGTAACATGCCTCAAAGAAAGTATATTAGATCTACTTTTTGTCACAATTTTCTGTTGTCTTGTAAGTGCCTACTGACCTGCGAATGGTGTGCCTTAGCTCGCGCATGAGTTGATCCATGTCAGAACCTGTGTGGCTGAAGCGAATAACCATTATGCTTAGATTCTCCTCACTACCGTAGCTCTGTGCCAAATCTTGGAGCTTTTTAGCAGCCAAAATTGCATTTCCCATGTGACGTGCTTCTTCCACTGCCTCTTCCACACTAACTACTTCCCAGAACCTGCAGTGAATTCATACAAAAGGGTTATCAAAAAATTGCTTCTACAGAAGAAATAATATTACAAATTATTTCAAAAGCTCTTCAATTAATTACTACAGAATATTAAGACTGTTTAAATTTGCAAGAAATGCAAGTTGGTCAAGTAAATTAGAAATAGCAAAAAATAATACTGAATATGCTTCAAGATTTCTATAGGTTCTGCTTAGTAAAATTATAAGTTATTTTGAAATCAGACAATAAATTTGAAAATAATTTCATAATTAGTTCTTTCCACATTATAATAATACCTAGCCAAACAGAAGGTCATCTTAAGCAATTAAAGAATACAATATATCTTATGCAAATACTGCGAGAAAATATGAAGATATTAGTATTATTATATTTTAAAAGAACATTATGAATCATAAACGACATAGGGGCCATCCATAAATATCATAAAACAAATTTGGAATATTTAGAATATTCCCTCTCCCCCCCTGTAACGCACCCATAACATGCAATTGAACCTCCCCCTAATAATTAAGTAATGCTTACGACAACTCCTTCCCCTATGTAAATGCAAAAAGTGAAAATAAATTACAGTTCAGTAAAAAAGAGTATTAATTTCATTCAATCAGTAACAACTTCTAGTAACTTCAAATAATTTTCTTTTAAAACAAATTAAATAGATATTTTCATGTTTTAGTGTGACAAAAAAAGAAAGTATTTCAACAAATGTAAAAAAAATTTTTTTAAAAATTCCAAGTTACACAACACACTCTCTACTCCTATGTAATACTCCTCTACCCCTATGTAACGCAGCTTAATGCTGCCTCCAAAGCCCACCCCTCCTCTTTAGCATTACGTAATTTATGGATGGGTCCATATTGGAGATTAATGAAGAAAAAGTACCGTTTATTGGCAACAATAAGAAATTCATCTTCCTCTTCTAATTGAACCTCTGCTATACGAGGATCTGGAATGACTAAAGGGAACATGGCACTGCAACCCAATTGATTCCTGGTCTAGAACAAAGAGTTACATTAAAATTAATTTTCATTTGTATTTTGTTATTTTGGAAATAATTTTATTTATTAATTACTACAAGAAAAACATAGTTGTCAAAATATTAGTGCAATTTATGGAAACCAAATATACAGTTAATTCCACTACAGTGTCTCAGTGTGTTTTCAAACGGCGTGATTGTGCTGCTAAATTGCGAGACTGTGCAATGGAAAAATTAAATTGGGAATGCCCAAACAGATAAAACAAACTTTTGAATTAAATAATTTTGTATTGCCATTTATTATTCTTAACTATCTGTCAACTTGTAAAAAAACAGGCAAAAATTACCAACACAATAACACAATCATTCACATTTCACCCTGAATTGAACCTGATGATGTGATACTACAAGCTGTATGATGAAACAATGTGTGCGAATAGAAAAATACTTATATATTCCATTTTGAAACTTACTTGAGGGGGTGAGGAGATCTGTTCTTTGGGTGGGCACAACTGGATGCCCTCTGACCTCCGGCACAGGACCGCCCCAGCCTCTCCTACACTTGCCACTCTCAACACATACCGACTACCACTGGGAAGGAAGCCATTAGTTGTTGAGCCTGGTCCTGGTTTTGTGCGACTGATGTGGCAGAGAGTGGCACAAACTCCATACTTTTGACCCTTTTCTTTCAATTCTCTGAGAAACACAATGAGAGTATAAAAAATCTGTCATCAGGAGAGAAAAAATTTGAAACTCAAATGATGGTTTAAGAAAAGCCTTCAAAAAGGTATTGAAATGTGATTTTCAAATAATAATTATTTTTATTTAGCTAAAATCTAAAGGTGAGGCTGCAGCTTTTATATCTAAAAAATTACAAAAACACATTTTTATTTTTAAAGCCTTTCTCTGTTGTCTATGTCTTTATTAATATAAGAATGTTATGGCTGAAATTTAATTCCTTATTATATTTTTGATACAGGCAAAATGTATTTTATTACCTGTGAGCTGATAGCATAGTATATTTCATGTACTCTTCAGCCGTTTCCTTCACGGTCCTCTCTTCTAGAAGTATTCTTGGCACAGCTTTTATCAGGATATTTGGGATGTCATTATTATTCCCTCCATCAAATAACCCAAAGAGCCCTTCAGTATTACAAAAGGCTGGTAAGCGGATCTGCGTTATATATAACCTGAACATAAAATGGTTTGCTAATATTTGTCCAATGAAAATTCTTTCAAATATTTTGTGGCTGCAAAACAATTTTACTTGTAGAAGTTTTGAAGTAATATAAAATTCAAAAGATTGTCACTAATATTTGATGATGAGGAACACAAAAAAATTAAGAGGAAAGAGACTGTTTCCAGGACCCTTGTGACAAATAGAGTAGTATGTAATACCTGTGCAAGATTCCACTAGAGTATTTAATGTTAAACCACGAAAAAATCTATATCTAAGTCTTGAAATTCTTAGAATTTCACTGAGATTAATTACTACAGTTTTAAAGCTATGGTTTACGTTTATTTTCTTTTCAAAATTTCTCCTGCGACTTCTTTCATTAGCATTTCCTTTTTTCAATTAAATAAAATCATTTTTAAAAACATCAACAATAACATTCTTTACATTTATCTATTGCAATTCAATAATGAAATGTACAATACTTTTATTTTAGTTACTATAAGTACATTATTCAATTAAAAATGTTGAGAAATAAACTATTTTCTTGAAGTAATGTAAAATGAAGAATTATTCTATAAGAATGAGTATTTGAACTTTGTGCCAATTTCTTAATTTCAGTTGCAGTATTTTCAATGTAAACACAGGTTTACTCTAGAAACTTGGAACGCTTTTTCCAACATTAACACTAGTGACTCTACAGAAAGCCCATTAACCTATAGAGATATTGCGATTGAAATTCTGAAATGAAAATCAAATTTAAATGTAGGTTACTCTTATTGAATCAACCTATAATAAATAATATAAATCAGAATTTATCACTCACTTCTCCCGAAGGCCTGCTGTCTCTGAGAAGCCTACTCTCCAGGGTGGCTCAGATTCTCCACCACCCTCGTGGAAGGGCGTGGAGGGCAGACAGGTACGGTTCTGGCCAGAGACATCAACCAAACTCATGGGCCGATGTGTTCTACTTGAATAGAAGAATAGTACATTCTAAACTCACTGAAGTTTGGAGCTCAAACATATTCTTCACCAGAAACAAAGTAAAGTATTTTCTTTTTCTAAGTGCAGATTATATGATAAAATTTATATACTTTTCACACTTTTGACATCTCATTACTTATCACACTTTGACGAAATACTAGCTCACAAAACAGTGTAGTATATTTGTTTTACATATGTTATATTTAGCTTATAATATTACAAATTACCTGTATACTTGGAACTGTCTAGGATCAACATACAACCTTGAATTGCATGAGAGGTCAAGAAATTGAAGTTGTTGTGGAACCAGAGTAGCCAAATTCACTCTATCTAGTTGATTGTGTGCCAAATCCAGCACCTGAGAACATGTTTTCAATTAAGTATATACTAGTTTTTATTTCAGGTTTAAACTGAACGATCTGAATGAATAAGAGAAAAAAGACTTTCTGATGAAACTTATTACCTTAAGAGAGGTCATTTTTGCAAAACAAGGACTCGCTTGAAGCCTATTAGAATGTACCCTTAACACTCTTAAATGTTCCAGACGTGTTAAATTATCTGGCAAATACTGCAGTTTATTTCCAGACAGCACAAGCTCTTCCAAATCTTTCCACATTGCAACACAACTGTGGGGAAAAAAAATTTGCAATATAAATAGAAGAAAAATAATTTCCACAGGAAGGTTTTGTAAAATTACATATTTGTTAGATCTTAGTTACAATAAAACTTTTGGAATGTTTACAAAGAAAGCTTAAAGTGATTTGATTATTCATAATTGTCCTTATTTTCAGGGATAGTACACATTTTCACTTAGCAAAGGAAAAATTGTCTAGCTTTGCATATTTTGAAATTGTATTTGCAGTTTATTTCAGATTATATTCTTTGAAAACAGTTTAGAAAGATTATTTCTGACCTATAGAAAAATTTTGAGTGGTGAATTGAGCTTAGAATTAGGCCTGGATTTCACTCCACAATGTATTGTAGTGTTCAAAATGGTCTCCATTACTTGTAATGGAGAATGGAATTTTAGCCAGTACAAAGTAATATTAGTAAGTGACAAAATGGGCAGTTTCACATTTGAACATTTTAAAAGCTGCTTTGAAATCCACTGCATAGAAAAAGGCTGATTATCAGAAAAGGATTAGGGATCATAGTGGCAACATCCCAAAATGTCTTATTTATTTTAGTACAAGAAAATATTAAATATTGATCTATGACCTTATACTTAAAAAGAAGTTCTTTGACAGTACTATTTAGGCAACATATAATTTAATTTTTTGTAACTTCAGGAATGCACTTTTGAAGAACGCCTTTCATTTTCTTCGAAGCAAATGAAAGAAGAGAGAGTGTGTTCTACAAATGCTCAAGCTGATAGAGTGGATATAACTAGAAAAACTTATTGGAATAATTTAAATATCAAAAAGTTTGATGCATTTATGTATGTATTACTGTGTGCAGAAATAAATGTCTTGGAATGTTTATCTTGTGCATGTGAGGGAGTACTCACTTTTTCTAGCAACTATAAACATTTCAAGATTGGATAAGATAAGATTATATCTTCACTTTGATATGAAACAAACAAGAAAAAACACAACCCAATTGTACATTTTTCAGCTACAAATGGTCTCGCTCACAAGAGTGTTTCAGTAAACCAATAATTTATATGCTTTTGTAGAAGGTATGTTTTTGTTATGTAATTGCCAAAAAAACAGTGAATTATATAATTAAAATTTTGAACATTGGATACACATATATGGTGTTATTTAGACACAAAATCAAATTGATCATGAAAATTATTTCATCAAAAAGTAGGCAAAGAACATTATTTAAGGCATTTCATATCTGAAAATAATTTATTTAAAAATTGTAAATAATTAATTTTTAACATTTATTTATTTATTTATTTATTTATTTATTTATTTATTTATTTATTTATTTATTTATTTATT